TTCCTGCCATTGTACTGAAGAGATGTGCAGCGGAGATTGCTCCAGTTCTTTCGCGTCTCTTCCAGATATCTTATGAATCCGGCACCTTCCCAGAAAACTGGAAATTTGCTCATGTACAGCCCATCCCAAAAAAAGGATCTAAAACCGACCCTTACAACTACAGGCCTATAGCTCTGCTTTCTGTTATAAGTAAAGTGATGGAGAGGTGCATAAATCGCGAGCTTCTGGACTACCTCGAACGTCACAGCTTGATTAGCGACAGGCAGTACGGTTTCCGGCACCAACGATCCACAGGGGACCTCCTAGCTTACGTCACGCAACTGTGGAGTAAACTCATCCAGTCTCATGGTGAGGCTCATGTCGTTGCTCTTGACATCACGAAAGCGTTCGATCAGCTGTGGCACGCTGCCCTCTTAAGCAAACTTCCATCCTACGGCCTCCCAGAAAAGCTTTGCAGATGGGTGGCTGACTTTATCTCTGGCCGCAAGATATCCGTCGTAATTGACGGATTCTCCTCTTCATCCCACAACGTCAACGCGGGTGTTCCCCAGGGATCGGTCTTGGCTCCAACACTGTTTCTCTTACATATCAACGACCTCCTTTCCTGCACGATCAACCCAATCCACAGCTTCGCTGATGACAGCACTCTACATGCAGGAATTCAGAGTGACAAGCCGATCTCTGCCGCTGAGCTGGAAAAAAGAAGACTAGCGACGACTTCTTCTCTGAGAAGAGACCTGGAGGCTATCACTGCTTGGGGACGCAACAATCTTGTACAGTTCAATGCTTCCAAAACACAGTACTGTACTTTGACGAACAAAAAGCGTCCTAGCGCTCATACAGTTTCGATGGACGGTCGAGTTCTACCAAAGAGCCATTCATTTCGGCTGGTCGGAGTCCAGATCACCGAGGACCTGATCTGGCACGAACACATCTCTTCAATAGCTGCAGCTGCTGGGAAAAAGCTAGGCTATTTGTTTAGGGCTAAGAAGTACTTTTCTCCGCATGACCTTCTCAGTCTATACAAGGCCCAGATAAGGCCTAGCCTCGAGTATTGCTCACATTTGGGGTGCTGCCGCCCCGACTACATTGTCCATGCTCGATGCTGTCCAGAGGAGGGCGGTCCGACTGATCGTTGACTCTTCTCTAACAGACAGTCTCGGGACTCTTTCGCACCGGCGGGCCGTCGGCGATCTAGCTCTTTTCTATCGCTACACCAACGGGCTTTGCTCCTCAGAGCTCTCTTCCATGATGCCGCCGCGCGATGTGGCTGCCAGAGAGACCCGCCTGACTTCGGCGTCCCATCCTAACCGTGTCAAACTTCGTACATCCAGAACCTGCCGATACAACCGCTCCTTTGTCCCGAGGGTGTCTAGATTGTGGAACAATCTACGGGAGGAAGCTTTTCCCAGTTCTACTAACCTTAGGCAGTTCAAAAATCGTATTAACAAAATTTCTTTGGGATCATCATAGCAGCCGCGGTGTTCCGGCATTTAGGCTTCTGCCTGCGCGGCTGTTTCGATATAAAAAAAAAAAAAAATGTACAAGAGAACGCCAAAATGATACGTACTACAATAATATTCAAATATTGCTAAGATATATAAACATTTCTTCTGTAGCGGTGTGTCAGTGACGACACCACCGCAGACCAGTGGCCTCCAAGATGATGCAGCATCGCAACGGCGACGGTTGCAAGTTATTTCGAATTTTGAGCACATTATATATCTAACTTTTATCATCTAACATCCCGTTGTTACCGGGTTCAGCAGCCTCTCAATGATAGTACGACTTTGACACATTTACAACCCCTTACCCCCGCAACCCCCAACCATAAGGTTTAACGAAGTTTAACCGATTTTAATTTTTTCGTGTTTTTGCCCCCAGCTCCGCCAGTACTGCACCGATTTCCACAAACTACAAAGCTTTTTGATCCTTGGGATACCAGTGACCTTGTATGAAAATTTAATCAAAATCCGAGCGGTACTTCTCAAGTTATAGGCCGTTATAAAATTTGCGGACAGACCGACAGACAGATCGACGGAAATGATAACATCCAAAAAACATATCTCAGTTTCGAAATTTTTCGCGATTACAATGCTTCCTCACCAGCATTGGAAGTAAAACCTCAACATCCTTGTACTCGTATGAAAACTGGTGTAGTAGTATAAGTATAAAAATGCTTATTGTGAATATACTCGTATGACTGGAAGCACATGCTCCAAAGGCATTTGTAGAATACTAAAAAATAATATTTCGGTAATTTCTGGTTCATAAATAATTTAGCTGTTCTTACTCCCGTTTAACAACAAAAATCTGGCTATGGTCGCTGAACATTTTCTGAAGCGCATCCAAACGCACGGCCGTTGACCATTACAGCACTCGGGAAATTGACCACCATACAAGCAACGTTCACAGACATGAAAAATACTATGTATTTAACGTCATCGAGTACAGTTATGGAATCAGAGCGTTATTTATTGTGTATATGATGAGTCATGGAAAGTGTGATCGAGGTTCAACATTGATAACGAACTGTCATTGAATTTTAAGCATATGCACTTCCTAAGTTAAAAGAGTTGTCCTCGTTTTGAACGATGAACTCATAAAGCTAGAACAAAGCATGTAGTCCTCAGTTAATCCAAAGTAAACATTTTTGAAAACATAAGCCAAAATGCAATGCCCTGTACTATGTACTAATTCCAGGCTGCCCCCTCCCCCCACTTTTCAATAGTAGTAGGGATATATTAATTATTTGAATGGGTTGAAAACAAAAAAGTCACCTTGATCCAGGTAACGGATGTAAGATCTCAGGGGCCCAAAGCAATAATTTTGTAGCGGGCTCGGAGAGGCTGTGCCTATACCGGGTTGCAAACTCGACCCTCACCATTGGGATTTAGGAAATGGTAAAAGATCCACATGTTTAAACAGAGGCAAAGTTGAATATTTAGGTAACTAACAAGATGCCGCTTAGAAAGGTTTGAAATTCGAAGTACTTCCGGAAACGAAAAAACCGAATTTTCCCTTCGTTTTGTTTTTTTATCTCTCTATTTGTAGTGGGATTTCAAAATAAATATTTTGAACATTAACATTGTCATTTTTTCTTTTCTTTAAGGTGGTATAATTAGAATTTCAATATGACGTTTCGTCTATTGTACTCCAGCATCAACTTTATTTTTTCCAACAGACGCCATATTGGATTTTTGCATAGAATCTTTAATACTGATTCCAAAAGTGTATGATATGTGTCATACATGGACATTGTCAAACCTTAGTAATTAAAAGAAAAAAATAGAATTTCCCCTTGAAATTATCAGATTGTAATTTATTGAAAAACCGTTTTCTATTTCCTGGTTTTATACGAAATGGCATTTTAAAACAAACTGCATATTAGCATTGTCACACTTTCTGCTCTACAAGAGGGCGTAGTCAAATTCTCAATTAGACGACTGATTCTGTTTTTGATCTCTGCCCTCAGCTTTGTTTTTTCTTATGGACTCTCTACTGAAATTCTGCGCAATCGAACACAATTTTTGATTCTGTATTCTGTTATGAATATAATGCATTTACTCCAATATAGCGTCCATATGAGAAGGCAAAGTCGGTGATGGAAGTCGAAAAAAGAAACCTCGAGCTGATAATTTGAACGGCTTTTCTTGGCGAGGAGAAAAAGTAGCAATGACAATATGAAATTTATTTCGATATCGTCCTCAAATAAAGTATAATGGATCACATGGTTTAGAACCAAATGGCATTTATGCTGCATTTCTAGGAGATGACGTCTGAGATGCAGTTTGAAACGGATGTTATTACTATTTGAGTACTCGAGGATGGAACCTGGGCTTTGTGCAGAGTGAGGTTGAGAAAAGTACTTATTAGCCTTAAACAAATAACCCAATTTTCACAGTAGTTTTAGTGATTTACAAGATATGTTCGTACAAAGTCAAATCCTCGGTGATCTGAACTTAAACCATTCAAACCGGATAGCTCCTTGTCTTATATATACAGGGTGACTTCGAAGTGGTGTCATTTATTTTAACAGTGAGTAGATCTGATCAAAAGAAATGTTTTTTCCTTTAACATTTTTGTGGTAAAATTAAAGTAACAAAGTTATAGCCCTTTAGAAGTTTGAGTACCGCCCTGTCTCAATAATAATATTATGTGCTCGTGTTTGGCAACAACGGATATAATCCGCCTTATCGGTTCATCGCATCGGAAACAAAAAAGCGAAAGAATTTGAAACGCTTATCACGATGTTTTTACTACAATTTTATTCAGTTGTATTCAGTCAATGCGTCAGTCGGTAACGCGTGAGTGAATAGTGGTGTTTGTTGCGTGGCTCAAACGAAATAAAAAATTGCACATGTTTACGAAAATGCTGAACTTGTGGACATGATTCTTATTTACGGGGGGGGGAGTCTTTACAAACTGCTGCCGCGGCATCACGGATTCATGCGGATCGGTTTCCCAATCGAGTGCAACCAACCCCTCGTGCCTTTGTTAATGTAGTTCAAAGGGCTCGTGAATCAGGTGACTTAAGACCTCACAGGGGAGCGCATGCCGGTGCTCCAAGACCGCACGATCAAATACAGGTCCGCACTGAAGTACTTGTCGGGAGGATACTTTATAATACAAGGCAACATTGTTTTTAATTTTTTTTACACACATATGTTGGTTTGTCTCCCTTCTACAATCATTATCTGAAAATTAATGACTCAACTTCAAAGTCACCCTGTAGTGTTTTCGAAGCATTATACTTTGCCACATTGTTATGTCCCCAACTACCAGATCTCTCATTAAGTGAGAAGTCGCTACTAATATTCGCTGGTGTATGCACAGTTTAAGACCGCAGAATCTGTATCACTCACACAATGCTAGTAGATCGTTTTGTGTGTTTATAGAGCAATTGCGGCCAAATTGGGTGCACTACATATGAACCAACACGAATGACCAAGAGCATATCATCCTAATTATCTATTATTAAGGCGCTTTTTTATTTCTAGTGAAAGTGCTGCAGCCTCGATTGTCAACACCGTCATCATCAGCCACCGTATGTCTGCCAGGTGAGCCTCTAGCCACGGAACTGTCGACTCATGAAGAACGACAACGTAAGTCGTGCGTAAAATGCACCTGAGAGAAGAAATGAGAGGAAAAAACGATGATGATATGAGTTAATGGTTGGTAGAATAAACAAGTTTCTGTCGTCGAACTCATAGACGCGCAAAAGTTTTTGTAAATTTTTTGATATTAGTTTTTTAATAAGTAGGATTCTTCAGTACCTCGAAAACGGGGCATTTCCGGACTACAGGGGCCCGAATTCAATTTTAGCGACCCAAAAAACGTATTATAAGGATAGTCCGAGTCACGTTCCCGATTTACCTATTTTTGCAACATAAGACCATGGTCATTAAAATTATAGTGCTTCTCATGGAGTTAAAATCTCTTACGTATTTTAAGGGAAGCCAAAGTCATTTCACTTGTATGTCATCCCACGCACCTACATCCTATTATATACTAAGTGACATATAAATCCGAACACCCAGTTTAAATGGTTTTATTTTAATAAAAGTTGGTGAATGTATTTATCTTACTGTAAATAACAAGTGAAAAAATTTTCAGCATTATCAGTTGGACATTCCGGTTTTTATACTGCCTTTTTTTAATTCACTAACGCTCTAAAAATGAATATTTCAGCCGCAGTAAAGAATCAACGTTGGCGGATTTTGGTGCTTGACATCCTTTACGATCGGTTACGATGCCTAGAGTACGGAGACCTGTACAATTTCGTCAACCTAGTGAGTTTGATAGGGGCCGTATAGTGGGACTTCGGGAAGCTGGACTTTCTTTCGGGCAATTGCAGTTAGAGTGCAAAGAAGTGTAGACACTGTGGTTAGGTGTTGTCAGGCATGGCTTCGAGAAGGCCGTACGCAAAGAGCAAGGGGCACTGGACGCCGTCGTAGAACAACAGACCGTGAAGATCGCCGCCTAAGATTATTGGCCTTAAGGGACCGTTTCTCCACTACCAGGTCCATTGCAAATGAATGGTTTGCAGAACACGGAAGACCTATTGGCATGCGAAGTGTTTACCAACGAATGAGAAGTTTTGGCTTGTTTTCATACCGGCCACACTGGGTCCTCCCTTTAACTCGAGAACATCGACGTAATCGCCTTGAGTGGTGCAGACAACGGTCACTCTGGGATCAGGAATGGAACAGTATTGTCTTTAGTGATGAGTCTCGATTTTGTTTAGGCATGCACGATGGTCGTGCCAGGGTTAGAAGGCGACGTGGTGAAAGGAGGAATCCACAGTTTTTTGTTGAAAGACATGTTCATCACACTGTTGGAGTTATGGTTTGGGATGCTATAGCTTATGGCTCCAGGTCACCTTTAATCTTCATCAGAGGTAACATGAACGCGCAGCGTTATATCCACGAAGTTCTAGAACCCCATCTTTTACCCTAACTTGACACCCTGGCAGATCCAACTTTCCAACAAGATAATGCCCGACCACATGTTGCAAGAGTCACAATAGACTTCTTTCAACATAATGATGTCACATTGTTACCATGGCCACCAACATCTCCCGACTTATCCCCAATTGAGCACGTGTGGGATATGATGGGTAGGAGATTGCTCAATTTGCAACGTCCTCCTCAGACTCTAGAAGCACTTCGAGAGGAGTTGGTGGTTGCCTGGAATGAGATACCACAGGAGGACATTGACCACCTGATCAGAAGCATGCCTAGGCGCGTTGGAGAATGCGCAGCACATCAGGGTGCATCCACATATTATTAAAGGTCAAAGGGCTTTAAAGCAGTGCAATCATTTTGAAATTTTTATCATTTACTTATTATGCTTCATTAAGTACTTGTACAAAATTTTATTAAAATAAAACCATTTAAGCTGGGTGTTCGGATTTATATGTCACTTAGTATATATTGAAAAATAGCAAAACTATATACATGTATTGCGACTCGAGTGACCTAAAAATCAATTTTAATTGTCGGTAGCTATATGAGGTATGTACATTACTGTAGGATGCTAACGAGAGATGATAATAGAAATATGATAAACGTGAAAACCAAAAACCCATCTTAGAAGGTTTCGAAGTCATTTTTACTACATGGCAGTACGTAAGCAATTCGATATGGGCAACACTGTCATTTTTTTCATATTTGTTGTAGCAGCGGGATAGGGGTAAAATAGACGCCAAAACGTTGACAATTGATTAAAAGCATCTTGAACATCTGTTGATTTATCGCAAGAATCCGAAGAAATAGACTGGGATAAGAAGTTATTTCTTTTGCACCTCCTACTGACGTTTTAATTTTTGTTTTTGTGTTCTCCATCTATTTCAAGTGCAGTCATAAATCGTTTTTTACTTTTGGAACTGTAAACTTGATTCTCGAATGATTCTCAGGCTTTTGATAATTTTAGGAAGCACTATAAATAATTTGCTGGAAAAGTTAAAGTTACGACAAAATCCAATAAATTTTCCACAAATGAAAATTTGATAATACGCTATAGGCGTTAAGCTTTTTGTCAAAAAAGGACTTCGTTCTTATTCAATATCAAGTTATTGTTTCAGAAGCTGAATCAGGAAGATGAGGAAACAAACGGACAAGCGTCGTGTCACGTTCAAGAATGTGATCAGGACTTTAGGTGGATATATTGTGAAAATAAAGTTCAAGAACCTCCTGTGGATAATTTGTGCAATTGTGTTAAACTTTAGTGCTTTAGTGAGTTGTAATCGTCCACCTCGTTTCGTACTAGATGGACAAAACGAAATCGTTTTAAGACTGAAGGAAGGAGAGAATACACCTGTAGGTAAGGATCAACAATGCAACAATAAGATACTGCCAGGAGTACTACAAGGTTCCGTTCTTGGGACACTACTTCTCATTATACACACGGTGGCCCATCCATACGTGGACGGAATAGTACTCATAAACAAATATATTTGGGAAAATCTTATTATCTATATCTTAGAAATATGAAAATATTTTCCATCTGCCTGTATGAGTACTATACAGATTTTGAAAGATCTGTATACAGGGTGGCCCATCCATGTGTCGACGAAATAGTACTCATAAACAAATACATTTTGGGAAAATCTATTGATGTCATGTTATACATGACATTTAAAGGCACATTTCTAAAATATTGCTCATTATACAAAGTGCCCCAATTTCAACCTACATATCAAAGTTGTGATTTTTCAAATGGGTGCCTCAAATTTTATTGCATATTTGGATAAACCAATTCAAAAGAAGAAAATTGTCATAACATACTATGGGGTTTTAGCTACTGAGATATAAGGCGTTTTGTCTAGAAAAACCCCCACTTCGACAACCCCTCAGTCCGCCATTTTTAAATTTGGAGTGCTGAATTTTGTATCAAAAAAACTTACACACCTCAGCTCTAATCTTATTTATTACTTTTTCGAATTTTAATTTTTGCTCATACTCAAAAACGCAAATTATACTTTTTCTAAAAAATTCCAAATACCTTACCCTGTATATTTGTACAAGTTTGGATTCAATTTTTTTAAGTTTTTTTTATACTAGACACATTAGGGTTTTTACGGCTATTTTTTTCGGTTATTAGCACGTCTTTTATGGAATGGCTTAATTCCCTAAAATATCGCATCATCCCTGGAAGCAAATACATTGTTGATTAGTTACAAACTGTCAAAATTAACTTTGTGAGCATTATAATAAAAACGTGCTTGAAAATATTTTTTTTTTAAGAAGAAATGGTGAATATGGTGTTCGTTTTGGGCGAAGCCCAAATAAATAGTTTCCTAGCATCTTGCATTTATAAGCAACGGTACCCTAATATGAGACATCCAAGGCCGGAAACATTTTCCACACTACGATAACGTTTTGAATCAAGTTGAGCAGTGGAATATAGTAAAAAAATGTATAAATAATCCAAGTGTCACCAATGAGGTGAATCAGTTGGATGTTCTATTAAAGTTGCAGGAAAATCCCCATTTTACTGCACGGAAAATTGGAGCAGAAACTGATATATGCAGAACTTCTGTCCAAAGGATTATTCACAAGCATAGGTACCATCCATATCACTTATGCTTTCATCAAGGCCCTCGTCTCAGGATTTCGCAGTTCGAATGGAGTTTAGTAGAATAATGCTAAATAAAGTGAGTGAAGACACTACTTTCCTGGATAAGGTTCTTCTTAGCGATGAGGCAACTTTTAACAGCATAGGTGTTGTCAAAAGGCATAACATACACTATTATGCGACGGAAAACCCTTACTGGGTTATGCAAATAGATTTCCAAAATAAATGGAGCTTGAATGTTTGGGGAGGAGCTACTGGCAGACAAGTTATCGGGCCTTTCTTTTTCGACAACAGATTAACAGGTACAGAATACTTGAGTTGTTTGAACGAGCATTTGCCTTTGCTTTTGGAGGATGTCAACCTGCAAACTCGGATGCATATGTACTTCCAACATGACGGCGCACCTGCGCATTATCATAATCGTGTGCGAAACTATTTGGCACCTGGAGTCACAATCGTTGGATCGGTCGTGATGGGCCTATATCTTGGCCTCCTATATCACCAGATATGACACCGATGGACTTTTTTCTATGGGGCTCGTTAAGCAAGAGGTTTATAGATATCCACCATCTACCCTCTAAAATATTAAGGAAAGGATTAAGGGTTCTATGGATGATGTGATTTTTTTCCTTAATTTTGATGTGTTGTTCTATTAAAAGCTTAATAACTCAAAATCTAGTGATTTTATCTGAATCAAACCATATACCAAATAAAAGCTTATAAAAAATTGAATCCAAACTTGTACAAATATACAGGGTGATGCATTCGAAATTTTTGAGAAAAAGTACAATTCGCGTTTTTGAGCACCATGTATGAGCAAAAATGAAAATTCGAAAAAGTAACAAATCAGGTAAACGCTGAGGTGTCTAATTTTTTTCTGATACAAAATTCCGCACTAAAAATTTCAAAATGGAGGATTGAGGAGTTGCCGAGTGGACGGTTTTTCTGGACATCTCAGTAGCTAATTACCAAAACCCCATAGCATGTTATATCAATCTTCTTTCTTTTGAATTGGTCTATTCAGATATGCAATAAAATTTGGGGCATTCTATTTAAAACATCACAACTTTGATATGTAGGTCAAAATTGGGATACCCTGTATAATTGCAAATATTTTAGAAATGTGCCCTCAAATGTCATATATAACATCTCATAAATATATTTTCCCAAAATGTATTTGTTTATGAGTACTATTCCGTCGACACATGAATGGGCCACCTGTATACAGATCTTTCAAAACCTGTGTAGTACAGGCAGATGAAAAATATTTTTCTATTTCTAAGATATAGATAATAAGTTTAGTCTTTGAAAATCGTAACCTTTTTTACTATTCTCATTTTTTTCGAAGAATTGTGTTTCCAGGTATAAATAAGTCGAGTTATAGTTTTTACGCTTTGTCATCCACGGATTATTAAAGCTATATTTTCTTTCTCTAGGCTCAATTATATATAGGTTAGAAGGCTTTGATCCTGACGGGGATCCTCTTACATTTGGCATTAGTGCTACTCCAGGAAGTGACGTCATACGAGTAGAAAATACCTCGCCAACTGAAGCTAACATTTACCTCAACAGGGAGCTTGACCGAGAGGTACGATACGCTATGTTTCTATAACCAACCAACACGCCAAAGTTTGAAATTCGAATAAATAAAAGTTTTCATTTAAATGGGGCTCAGTATTTTTCTTAGCAGTGGTGTATATATGGAAAACGGTACAAAAAACATTTGACAATTGTCTTACTCTTTTGAAAATTGCATTGCATTTTGGATATTCTCCAAATATACCATAGGCTTTGTGCTACAACATAGTTTACAGTGTGGAGCTATGTAGTATCCAATAGTCTATATAGATAACTCATGTTATACCATATAGTCCTGAATTTTTTGATTGTGTATTCAATATGCGCAGTCCATCTTAGATGGGCATCTATATATGTGTTCTCATCCCACAATCTAATGTTCAGTGCTACTTACTGTTATGTTAAACGTTCAGTAATTGGTCAAAATGATAGTGGAAGAGCATAAGGGGTTAGAGTTAGTTTTGCTGAAGTTTGTCAATAAGCAAATGTCCAACCAGAGTTTGATTTTTGGCAAGTCACGCTTTACCAGCGACCTCGTTTCATCCCAACTGAAAGTATCATAACTTACAGAAGTATCATTAGCAAAACTAACGACATCTCCCTCAAAGGTCAGTCTGTAAAGGTCTGAAAGGTATATATTAAAAGACATAGGTCCAAGTACTGTACCTTGAGGAACTCCAAACTCCACTTCCCTACATTTGGTCACCTCTCCATCAGCTTTTACATTCTATTGAGCAACTAACTCTTTATTAGTGAAAAGGCCATTGCCTGAGTCCTATGCTTTCCAGCACCGTTGGCTTTTGATGACTGACAGTGTCAAAAGCCTAAATATACATATGCTCTTACTTGTCTCATCGATTTTTTGAGTTAACTTGAAAACTATATAGTCTATGTCTGTGCCTTTAGTTGTTATGTCTTGTCTGATTTGTGTTTGCTGATTATTTGGCATATTTCAGGAGCGTGATGAGTACCTGCTGGCTCTAACCCTGACCGACAACCGTCTGGGTCGCGGCAACTACGTCACCCAGAGTCTTTTGTTGCTGGTAGAGGACGCCAATGACAACGCACCCATCTTCCAGCCATATCCACCCAGCATCACCTTGCCAGAAGATACGCCTCCAGGGGTGATTGCTACTTTACGAGCAACTGATGCCGATTTGGGACCCTACGGACAGGTGGTCTATTATCTGCAGCCCGAAGGGGACGAAAGGTTGTTTGGGGTCAGCACTGTCGGAGAAAAAGCTGTCATCAAGTTACTTGGTGAGTTGAGAAGCCAAAAATGTTATAGTATTAGATACGTAGCCATGTCAACGTTTACCTATGTATGTGTATATGTAAACCAGATGAGATGACATGGAAAACCAATACGAAAATCGTTGGGAAAGGAACTAGTCGGAAAGCTACTTATCAGTAAACTACAGTAGCTTTGAAAGCAGTTGGTTAGAAATGATTGGTGAACCAACTAGCTGAAGAAATCGTATTCATAAGCCCAATAGGCCCAAAGTTGCACTGCGGGGTCATCATATCATACGTTAGGCAGTCTATTGAACTATGGCCTTGACATGACCTGTCTCAAGAATATCATATTCATCCCGGAGCTCAGAATACATAAAAACCTTTTTTTAATCATAGTTTACTTTATGTGTAAAAGCCCGTTTTACTTCATTTAGATGTGAGTGTCGTAATCCCCCACATTTTCTAGGATCGTTGGACTACGAGAGGCAAACAGTCCACCAATTAAGAGTTCTGGCTGTAGATCGAGCTAAAGAAGGCAGAATCAATACCGGTACGGCTGCTGTGTTGATCAAAGTGGAAGACGTCGAAGATCAACCTCCTGAGTTCATTAGAGTCACTCCGGTAGCAAGGATTGCGGAAAATAGTCCAGTGGGCACTGCTGTCTTGCAAGGTAAATTCTTTATAAACATAAGAGGAATTTCAATTGAATCTTCTAGTCCTTGCTCAAAGCTCGTATCTTGAGTCAGTTTGATGCGTAGACTGGTGTCCGCTTGTTCCTGAGATTCACAGGAAGCCCCTAGATGTCAATTTAAGACTGCAAATAACGCTTTATATTGAAAATCAGTGTTCTCAAACCATGGTCCTCATGGAGTCACAAATGGATTAGATTTTTGCGCATTTTTACTATATAATAGGAGGAACATAGTGGACGGGACCAGATTCATTCAGAATGATTTCGGATTTGGTTTCAGCTGCCCAACACTCGTATGTACGATAGTGGACACTTGAACCGCATCCAAAGCAAAATTACCGAAGACGGTCTTTGGTAATTACTATATGTGTGGAAAATGAATTTGTTAATAGAATTTTCCTTCTCAGTTGCTGCGGTAGATGGAGACCATGGCATAAATAACCCAATCGAGTACCTCATGTCATCAAACAGTTTGAATACAATCGCTAATGTATTTGCTATAGAGAGAACTACTGGAGTAGTTAGAACAGCGAACGCATTAGATCGAGAAGCACTGGAAGCAGAAGCTGGTACTTATATACTCCAGATAACTGTGAGTACACACTCTTATATAATTTAACAATAATTCATTATTGTGCGTTTTCAGGCCTTCGAGGTAGGCAGCAAAGTTACACCAAGACCATCAGCTGTCACAGAAGTTACAGTTATCATTACAGACGTAAACGATGAGAGGCCTACTTTTAGAAATAATGGCTATGAATGCCAAATTGCTGAAAACTCTCCAGTGAATACACCTTTGACATTCATCGGAAATACTTTACCAGAAGTATACGATTATGACCAGGTAACATGTCTAGAAGGAAGGAGCATATATTTTTAATGTGTGTTCTATACACTGATACTAATTGAAATACTGTCTACATTTCATTTAGAAAGTCATACTCTTTGAATAATGATGAAATTCTTTAAAATTACAGGGCATTAACGGCACATTCTATCTGTATGTGAAAGGTGCGGGTGACGTATTTGATATTACACCCAACAAAGCCCTAAATGAGGCTACTTTTATGATACGTGTCAGGAACAGTACGATTTTAGATTATGAAAAAATAAAAACTATAAACGCCACATTGGTAGCGAAAGAAGTTGTTAAATACAAACCTAAATTCAGCGAAGTCCCCGTCATAGTCCATGTGCTAGATAGAAATGACAACTTTCCGGAATTCACCAAAAGCATGTACGAGGTATGAAAATTGGGAAAACATATATACGAGTATATATATATTCTTTTTATGTCTTTCATAACATATTTTGCTGTAAAGCTTTGTTTTTTGCTCATTTTCGTATAATAATTAAATGTTCCTAATAACTGATTTATCGTTACTAGGTATGGGTACCAGAGAACTGTGATATTGGGACCACTGTGGCTTGGGTACAAGCATTAGATAGCGACTCAGGAAACTATGGTACCAGAGGTATCATATACACCAATATAATTGGCAGCATAGATTATATGTAAGCATAGACTTCCTGCGCCTTTTTTTTCGTTCAACATCTTCGACTTTGACTCATACGTGGGCACTACTGCAAAACTTTCACCAAGAGTTCCTAAGGGGCACTATGGCATTGAAGAATATAGTTTAAGTATAGACTCCCATTTTGATCAATATTGTGCATCATGTCGTCGATTTGGAAGAAGACTGTCACAATTCAAAAATTGCCATTTTTAATGTGACAAAATAAACTTATTTTGTAACCAAACTATTTATAACACATAGTGACAGTTTGAGTTTCTACTGAGCTATATATCTATATGTGGAAGACTGTCCGATGTCCCTTCTTCTGAATATTCATGAATTTTGAGTTGTGACAGTCTTTTTCTAAACCGAAAATATAGTCAACAGTGCAATGTTCAACTGTTGTCTATAGAAGCTTTCAAAAAATACATTGATTCTAGGTTGAATCTACACCCAACTACTGGACTAATCACCGTAAAAACAGCAGGAGGTCCAAACTGGGACCGTGAGCAAGTCTCACGTCACTTTCTAACAGTCGAGGCCAGAGATGATCTTGGTATGGGCAACAGGAACTCAGTCCAGCTCATTATAAATATCGAGGATGTAAATGATAACCCACCCGTTTTCACACAAATCAAATATGAAGCTCGAGTGCTGGAGAATAGCGAAGAGTTCTTTCAGCCATTGAGAGTGGAAGCCAGAGATGCAGATTTAAATGGTATGATAAAACAAAAAATCTTGTGCCTCCTCTATCACTTCCTCTCATTCCTCATCACGTGTTTCCCCTAACTTTGTCTGACATCTACTACCACTACTGTCCTAAAAAACCTACAGACAGTGGCGAATAGAAGAACGTCTCCTCTCCATTATAGAAGCTTCAATTCTAAAAGTTCACTTTTCAGGCACTTTGAACAGTCAAATTGAGTACGACTTATTAGGAAAGCTGCACGCCAACTTTACTATGGATCATGCCACCGGAGTAGTAAGAATAAGACATCCTATCGATTTTGAGGACCTTGTTGGACCTCCTGAAGAAAATGTTCGAACGTTACACTTTATAGTGCGTGCAATGGACTTAGGAACACCCAGTTTGTACACAGAGGTACCGCTTCTAGTCTATGTAGAGGATCTAAATGATCACCCTCCCATTTTTGAGAAGAGGTATTACAACAGGTCAATACCAGAAGACGTTATTGGTGGTACTTCCATTATACAGGTAAATTTAACTTGAAAATCTAGAAAGGTAGAATAATATGGCAGCGATGCTTGACGTAACATTGCACAACCTGTAAGCGAATCTGCTTTGGAAAAATAAGTGGATGTAATAATAGTGTCACTTCTGCTTCTATTCTTCGCCTTAGAGCTAGAACAATGTCGTATGTGACTGGTTAAGGGAATAGTGGTTAGAAATGGTGGTATTAACAGTATCTGTATTTTGTTATCGCAATTCCCATATTTAGGTAAGAGCAATTGACCAAGATGGATCTTCACCAAATAACCACGTAGTGTATCGAATTCAAAGTGGAGCATACGACAAGTTCGTGATTGAGCCTGAAACAGGTCTGATAACAGTAGCAAGAGGAGCTACTTTAGATCCTGATCTTACTCATCCCAGAAAAACTGAATATTCCTTAGTGGTGCTAGCGATTGATGGAGCTCCAGGAGATCATCAACTACAAGCTACTGTTACAGTTAACATTACAGTTCTGGATGTTAATAATAAAGTACCTTTATTTGATGATCCAGGAACGGTGTCCATTCCTGAAAACACTCCGGTAAGTAGGAGTGACTATACCAGAAGTTGAAAAATAATAAAATATCCCTCGCGATCCCATTGGTCCAAATTCCTGGAACTCATTGGAAAATCTTATTTTAATCTCAACAAAAACTATCGCAATTAGGAAACATAGTACGTGTTATTTAAGGCTCTGCCAAATTTTGTACATTATTCTTCTCTAGGTTTAATCCCCTGACTGAGCATAACACTAAAATTAACGGATATATTTTTTAAGGTTATGGGAGCCTTTGACGCACGAGAGTTCGAGAATATTTTTAGTAGATTGTAAGACATTTGAAGAAACACCATTCGCTTTTCTAGGACGTCAGACAGTTGTTATAGTTTTAATGAGATCGAAGCATTCAACAATAATCCTCACAACTTTCAAAAATTTGAAAACAAGAATATATGAGAGAATTATTACATCTTATGAAATATTTTTAATATCTAACTTATCTGACTAGGTGGGAACAACAATCACAAAACTGTCATCCATCGACTTGGACTCAACAGCGAAGTTGTTCTACAGAATCCACGAAGAGCAATGCTTAGCTCGAAACGAAAGAGGAATTTTACTGAAAGATTTTGATTGTGCTAAGCATTTTCATATTGAGCCACTGACAGGTATTTTATCTATCGCCAAGCTCATCGATCGAGAAGTAGTTGAAAGTTTTCAACTAGGGTTGATTGTCGAAGATTTGAACTCCGAAACGGGACCTCAACTAGCCTCAGGTAATTGGATCTTCTCGTCTAATCAAAATTTGACAAACATATCTTTTCAAACGAGTTTTTGAAATAGGAGATAACGCAGAGGCAGTTAGGTTGAAAAATATGAAGAGATTTGTGTTCCCTCGTAGCACATTGTTGCCAATTATTGTAAACAACATATTGCAATACATTAAAAACTTACCCTACGTACGAGGCTTATTCAATTGAAACTCATCTTTGGTACAGAAGAAAATTATTGGCAGATATATCTACAAATAATTACCACCACAATTAAGGCACAGATTCCATTGTTTGACCAATCAATGTATACCCTGCTTAAAGAATTCTTGTGGCTGCTGCTTGAAGAATTCTTTTACGGTATTTTGTACTTCTTTTAACGCCTTTTTCAGTGGCCCGAAGATGTGAAAATCGCAAGGCGACAAATCTGGACCATTAGGTGGATGCTCTAATATACTCCATTTCTTTCTTGTAGACTTTCTCTCACTACTCTGGCAACATGAGGCCGAGCATTGTCGTGCAGAAGAATGACACCACGTGAGAGCTTCTCTGGACGTTCTCGTCTTATTGCTTGACGGAAATAGTTCAAAGTTTCATTATTATTTGAATGACCGCATGACAATTATATTTGGATGGATTATTACCAAACAAACGTCATTTTTAGATCACAATACTTAAAATCGCAGTCAAACAAACGTCATTTTTAGATCACAATACTTAAAATCGCAGTCAAATACAAATCACAGGAACTGATCAGTGTGACGTTTACAAACACAACTAATATTGCAAAATGTCAGTTAAGTGATTAGAATTGTTTACAAGGCTAACCTGACCAATGATGGGTTTCAATTGAACAAGCCTCGTATATTAAAATAAAGCTCCGATACTTATTTTAATTATTTCAGCAAATATGGTGATCGATATAGAAGACGTTAATGATAACGCGCCAAAATTCAGAGAGCCATTCTACAAGTTTTCCGTCACTGAAAACAGCAAGCATGGCGTTCCTATTGGGAGTGTCGTAGCTGATGATCCGGACAAAAACAAAACTGTAAATTACAGTTTGGAGGGACAATCAGAAGCTACTAGTTTACTTTTTATAGATCCAGGTAGCGGAGACATAGTAGTTGCGAATAAAATAGATCACGAAATTTTCGAATGGCTAAATCTAACGGTAAGTGCAGGAAAATGTAACATACAAGGAGTCATTACACCCTTGCTGAGACACTGAAGCACTGATTTCCGAGATTTTCACTTCTACTGATAATACGACCAAAGGCATATCACATAAAATTCCACTGAAACACGTCTTGTAAGGGCCGTCCGTGAGAATTTTTCCCTTGAGTAGGTCGGTCAGTCTGTACAATGTCAGGTTGTAATCACCAAGAACCTGATGATTTATGCCAAGATATGGAAGAAGAAAAAAATGAAAAAAGAAATGGAGCAAAGAAGAGGCCATGAACAGGCAATGTTCCATTTTGTTATTTACACAGATACTGACTCAATGATATTTAAAATCATCGTGTTATTTCTACTTACAATAAGAACAACAGCGAATCATTCCCAAACTTAAAAAAAAATCATTCATCACGTCCTGTGAGGTTGGCCAATTGGACATTTGTTCTATTTCGAATTCAGTAAATTGAATAATGATATTTAACAGTGTTTAACAGAATTTGAAAATGTTTAATGTGAAATTAAAAAATCACTTTATGAATACCCAAAATGGATAGTGATGTAATTTTAAAAGACAAGAATATAGAATTATGGACAATTAATTAAAAAAAATACGTAAACAAATAATTATACAAAATTGACATTGTAGCATTAATGCTATACTCCAGGCGCTGAAGAAAGAAACTAAACCCAAACAAATACACGCATATTGCTCGTGAGTGAGTGTTTACGCGCAGGAGACATTACAGGACCGCATCAAGATATTATGGGTAGTCATCAAAAATTTCATACAAGATAATTATTATCTTTTACAGTAAATTTCAGTTAGAGATTCACAAATGAGTTAACTACACTTTTTAGTTATTAGTAAGTAAGCTGCGCGCACTCATTCAGAAGAGGAACTTGAATCTTCTGAATCGATTAAATGAATTATTAGAGGTTCAATTTGGGTATCGATGACATTGTCCAAATCCCACATCTTGACCTCAACCTTCTCCCGAACGTGGCGGATACAGTTTTTCCATTCCTCTGCCGTAACTCTATTGACTGCGATGTGAAAGAGATTTTTAACATCAGAAAATGTATAAGTATTATTATTCGACGCCACGTATTGCTTTATGTTGGCCCAAATCAGCTCAATAGGGTTCAGCTCACAATGGTAGGGTGGCAGTCTCAAGACAGTTTTATTTTGTTTTTTGGCCATTTCGTCGATCATTTTAAAATCGTATTTGTATTTATGTCTATTGACTATACTTATCAATTCACCCTTGACCATTGTTTCATCAAAATCGATCTGTTTTGAGGCCAGCCATTGTTGTATGTTTGCTTTTTTAGTTGCCATTGTGGGAATTTTTTCTATTTTCTAGAATGGTACGGGGCATTATCCAGTACAATAACAGCGTTATTCTCCAGCTTTAGTAACATTTTGGAGAACCAATTTTCAAAGGAATTGCCGTCCATCTCCTCATGATAGTCCCCTGTCTTTTTTGATTCAAAGGCCCACAGTGCTTCGGGAACAAAGCCGTCTTCACTACCTACGTGACAAATGATCAGCCGTTTGCCTTTTCCTGGAAATAAATTATTCCTTACACTATGGATTGATTAAATTTGAAGGAATGAGGCAATTCAGTTCATTTAGCTGAATTTAAGAGTCACGGAATGCTGATCAAAAACTGAAAAACGTAGAAAATTGAAGTTTGCAACTTCTCAAAACCCATTCAAAGCAAATTGACTGCACCCAAAAATGATAATAAATTTCAAAATAACGCTTAAAAGAGGGTCGAAGTTTTTTTCCTAATGACTACACTGCGAATGCACCATTTTTGGAGAATATCACACATTATCTGCTATCACAGCATATTATTTGTCCGAATTTATCAAAATTAAATTGCCGGATAGATGAAGGAGCTTACCTGCAGGATTTTTCAATCCAGCCGAAAGACCGTCTAGAAAAGCCTGCCTTGATGATGTTACTGATTTGTCGACCCAAACTTTCGCTTGAGTATGTCCAGCATTCACCCACGTTTCGTCCAAATAGTAAATTTTTCTTTTTTCATCGCGAAACTTCCGAATCTTCCTAAGGTATTCCCTTCTCCACACAACAATTTCTTCTTTCTCTATTAACATACTGTTTCTTCCCCGTTTCAAGAATCGAAAATTAAGTTCCTTCAAAAGTTTTCGGAATGTGGTTCTTTTAAATGATGGAAGATCCTCATCAGCATTAACTAATCTTAATATCTTATCTACTGTAGGTATCTCATTTCGGAAGAAAAAATTATGCACTTTCCTCCTGATGGCAGTTCTGTCAAAGTCATCTACTCCGTCCGTTATCCTTTTTCTTGCAGGATACGGTTTTGGCTCAGAAAGTGAGTGAGTGCTCCTATATTCCTTAATGATCCTATAAACACTGGACCGACATACTCCAGAAATATGTGCTACCTTACATATAACTTCGTCCACGACCAAATCGGGTTTTTCTTGAATTTGGTTTTTGTATATATTTCATATTATTTGTTTTTCATTTGCACTTAAATGTAGCTTCTTAGCCCTTTTTTTGGGTGGGGTTGCGCTGATGTCAACCACTTCGTCGGCTGTATCTGTGTCAGACATCGTATCTTAGGCAATATATAAACAAAACGTTCCACTCGCGAAAAACGAGTATACGCTACTGAATGCGTAATGCGTATGCAATGCAATCCTGTGCGTGAATTAACTGTTAGATGCCTGTCGTGTCATCTACAATCACGTTTACAAGTCCAAACCTGTGCAGATTCGTAGAGCGCCGACGACTGCTAGTGACCTTGAATTTGTCTGTAGATCGATGTTACTCCAGTCAATTTAGGTTCAAAGTGGATGTTTTCTAAACCAATTTGTTGTTCCTACATCAAAAATATATCGATGATGTTTTGTACTGGGAGCTCATGAAAGATCAAGGTAACTTATTTTAACAGTCATCCTTTTTCTAGTCTCAAGATGACACGAAAAAGGGTCTGTGGATTCACTAGAAATACACTGCCGAGGATGTTTAGACCTAAAGTGACTGGAGTATATCCGTGGATGCATTCGAGGGATCTGTTCACGTGCCGATCACTGTTTACGTTTAATGTCTTTCTTCAGCGCCCAGAGTTTAGATCAATCTTCAGCAAACAAACAAACAAAGTAAGTTACTCAGTTCTTGTACTCTGTCAGTTCTGGATAACCAAGAACCAAGTATTACCCGTGCAAAGATGTAAAAAAGAAAAAGTAAAAGAGCAAAGAACAAAAAGAAAATGGTCAGGTGGTCAGAAAAATGCTGTTGGACATTGATCATTTGCTATAAACAAAAGTAAAAAGTTCGGAGTAGAAAAAGCAACACCGAATCAAAAACTGAAATTTCAGAATTTCAGACATTTCTTGCGAGGAAGATATTCCATTTTTAACACGTGAGGAGTAAGAGCAGGTTTTGGTTTTATCAGCCATATGCGACTTGATGATCCTTTACACAAACACACGCACAGATCAGGCATTTTTATCCTGCGGAGTGTCCATGAAGTAGGTAAAATGTTCATGTTTTAGGTCGAATAATTCAGTTTGGAGACTTTCAAAGTTTGAAGGTTTGGAAAAATGCGAATATTAACATTTTTCTTAAATTTTTATTTTCACGCTTTTTGTTACGTCTAGGCAGCATTTTGCCTCATACTATAGGTCTTTTTTGGAGATCTCCAAATTGCGCTGTGGATGTTTCAATCAAAAATAATTTTTTAAATATGATTACACCATATTCCTCATTTTCTTCCACCTGATACAGATCGAGTTTTGTGCTCGGGCTTTTAAACTGACGTAATGCTTTTCAGACACTGGAGCAGCATGAACATAAAAAAGTTGTCAAAACGACAATATTTGCAATTTTCTCACAACCTTCAAGCTTGAAGTAAGCTTCTAGAGAACAGTTCGATCTGAAGTCAAAATTTGAAAGCCTCGTGACCAAAATGGAGCCCGATTTAAGACATCACGCGCCAAACCAGGTCTTAGAATTTAAGTTTTGGCCCACATGCAAATCCTTCAGTCTATTAGCTTCTCATTCAATTTGGCAGGTAAAAGCAACGGACTCTGGGGTTCCTCCAAAAGCCAGTCGTGTCGAACTGTTCATTCAAGTATTGGATGAAAATGACAACAGTCCCTATTTTCTACCAGAACCCAGTGCAGTTGCTATTCCTGAACACATTCATGTGGGAAGAGAGATAGCTAGGGTAACAGCAATGGATGCAGATTCCGGGGAATACGGAAAGATAACGTACATATTGGACAGGCTGTCATCTCAAGGAAAATTTAGTTTGGATGCTGATGCGGGAATTTTGAAAGTGGTGGATAAGCTGGACAGGGAAGAGAAAGCTAGTTATCTGTTGGTTATAGAAGCGTGGGATAATTATCAATATGGATTTAACTCTGGGGAAAGCAGGAATGCGTTCAAACATATTAAGTAAGTGGGCCAGACGCTTTAAGACAAGTATACTAAGTGACATATAAATCCGAATGCCCAGTTTAAATGGTTTTGTTTTAATAAAATTTTGTATAAGTACTTAATGAAGCATAATAAGTAAATGATAAAAATTTCAAAATGATTGCACGGCTTTAAATCCCTTTGACCTTTAATAATGTGTGGATGCACCCTGATGTGCTACGTATTCCCCAACGCGCTTAGGCATGCTTCTGATCAGGTGGTCAATGTCCTCCTGTAGTATCTCATTCCAGGCAACCACCAACTCCTCTCGAAGTGCTTCTAGAGTCTGAGGAGAACGTTGCAAATTGAGCAATCTCCTACCCATCATATCCCACACGTGCTCAATTGGGGATAAGTCGGGAGATCTTGGTGGCCATGGTAACAATGTGACATCATTATGTTGAAAGAAGTCTATTGTGACTCTTGCAACATGTGGTCGGACATTATCTTGTTGTAAAGTTGGATCTGCCAGGGTGTCAAGATAGGGTAAAAGATGGGGTTCTAGAACTTCGTGGATATAACGCTGCGCGTTCATGTTACCTCTGATGAAGATTAAAGGTGACCTGGGACCATAAGCTATAGCATCCCAAACCATAACTCCAACGAATGAGAAGTTTTGGCTTGTTTTCATACCGGCCACACTGGGTCCTCCCTTTAACTCGAGAACACCGACGTAGTCGCCTTGAGTGGTGCAGACAACGGTCACTCTGGGATCAGGAATGGAACAGTATTGTCTTTAGTGACGAGTCTCGATTTTGTTTAGGCATGCACGATGGTCGTGCCAGGGTTAGAAGGCGACGTGGTGAAAGGAGGAATCCACAGTTTTTTGTTGAAAGACATGTTCATCACACTGTTGGAGTTATGGTTTGGGGTGCTATAGCTTATGGTTCCAGGTCACCTTTAATCTTCATCAGAGGTAACATGAACGCGCAGCGTTATATCCACGAAGTTCTAGAACCCCATCTTTTACCCTATCTTGACACCCTGGCAGATCCAACTTTCCAACAAGATAATGCCCGACCACATGTTGCAAGAGTCACAATAGACTTCTTTCAACATAATGATGTCACATTGTTACAATGGCCACAAGATCTCCCGACTTATCCCCAATTGAGCACGTGTGGGATATGATGGGTAGGAGATTGCTCAATTTGCAACGTCCTCCTCAGACTCTAGAAGCACTTCGAGAGGAGTTGGTGGTTGCCTGGAATGAGATACCACAGGAGGACATTGACCACCTGATCAGAAGCATGCCTAGGCGCGTTGGAGAATGCGTAGCACATCAGGGTGCATCCACACATTATTAAAGGTCAAAGGGCTTTAAAGCAGTGCAATCATTTTGAAATTTTTATCATTTACTTATTATGCTTCATTAAGTACTTATACAAAATTTTATTAAAATAAAACCATTTAAACGGGGTGTTCGGATTTATATGTCACTTAGTATATTATTAAAATAATGTAATATATCTAGTTGAAAATTTGAAAGAAAGTGAATGTCTCAATTCGCATTTTTACAGTGTAACCATCCTGGACGTCAATGATAATCCACCAAAACTACACGTTCCTCCATACTGTATCAACATCACCGAGTTTCATGACCCTGGCTTACCTATCACGACGATCCACGCTTCAGATGCAGATGACCCAAATACTTCAAATGGCCAGGTAACAACTTATTGGGCAAAACATTATTCTAACTTATTATTAATATTATTTGATTGATACTGCTTCATGACTATTCGTGAAGAAATAGAAAAAAATTGGTTTAAACCTTTTTTTAACCACAACATCTCTACATGACCTGTGGTTTAAATGATTCACATGTGATGGTGGAAGCACAGATAGAGGGCCAAAAGCTACTACTGAGAAGTCCATGAAGCAGAAACTACTATTCGAAAAGAGGCTTTTTCCTTTCATTCAACAATGTTTAATTCATTTTTAATATTAATATTTTACTTATACTGCCGTAGGTAATCATTGACATTGCTGATGGCAACGACAACGAAATATTCGATCTGCAACAGAAGACCGAATGGTCAGCTGAAGTTAGATCAACTGGATCCCTCAGAGGGAAGTTTGGAAACTATACATTATTAATTAGAGCTCAAGACTTAGGGACACCAAGTTTACTAGTTGAAGAACCATTGAACATATGCGTAATGGATTTCAACGATCATCCGCCAGTATTTGTTAGCCCACCTCCAAATTCTACCTTAAAAGTTCCCGAGGTGAGATTAACCTATTGTGCAGCATGTTTTCATCCGAATTTCGATTTAAGTTGGGTTGCTTTTGTGTTCTTGCCTCGTTTTGACGTTGTGAACGCAGGTCATAAATCATTTTTATTCTTGAAAACCTTGACCGCGAGAACATTGTATAACGTATTCAACAAATGGAATCTTCAAAATAATTGTTCCCCTTACGGTTTCTCTATAGCATAAACTTAAGTATATTCAACATTCTTACCCATAATATGTTAATAATTTTTACAGTAGTAGGTTAGTAGGCTGAGGTAGGTAGGCATTGCCAATCCATAGAATTCTGGAGTATTATATATTTTCTATTTGTTATGCGTATACTCCAATAAACATTGTTATTACATATTATCAATCAATATATGTGGTATATTGCATACATTTCTAATCGTACCTAAGAAATATTATGCGCAATGATTGATCTGCGAAAGCATTTAGTGGAAGCAATCGCTATCTACACATGTACACTTAGAGAGAAAATAATAACATTTTCGTTTATAGAATTTTGTAATGAAGAAATGGGAGATGCTGTCAATTGGACCTCTGATATTCACTACATATTTTTCACATTGTTCATTAGACTTCTATGGTCAAAATAGACCTCGAATGCCGTAAGAGTATGAGTATTCCAAATTCCATATCACTTTTCAGAACGCTACAATTGGAAGCGCTCTGGTACAAGTGATCGCAACTGACGAAGACATTGGCCAAAATGGCGCTGTGCGTTATAGATTGAAAGCTGATCCTGCTGGACATTGGAAACATTTTGAGCTGCAACCTGTTTCAGGAATACTTGAGTTGCGATTGCCACTTGACAGGAAAAAACAAAAAATATATGATGTAAGTTTAAGGACTATAAAGTATATAATATACGTGCTCACAAAATCAAAAATTAGTAAGCTATGAAGGATCAAAAACAAACAAAAAATGTAGCTCTCCTTCAGATGTGTGCAAATGTAGAGTCTGAATGAAATGCAATATCGTGAGTATGTTTTTAGATCAGAATCGAAGCCTACGACTTAGGAACACCTACTTCTTTAAGCACTGATCTTGATTTGACTGTATATGTCAGCGATATGAACGATTATCAACCTCAGTTTATGATAGATGAATTTCACGTGAATTTTACTGGTAAGTGTACTCACCTACTTCCAAAAAGTAGTTAAATATACTTTTCCAACTTTGGAAATTACAAGCTTCACAGGTATGACAGGTATAGTGCGTTCATGATAAACTAACAATAATTGTTCTTCACGTTTTAGAAAACAGGCCAGCAGAAAGTGAAATCAGAAGACTCCCCGAAACTGTGGATAGGGACGAGTACGAGTACGAAGGCCCTGTGGGTCCCATCTGTTATTTCATCATAGGTGGCAATGAAGATGATTTGTTTCATATCAATCCCATTGACCATACCCTTATGGTAATAATGGTTTGTTAGAATATAGAATATAAGTATGTGAGATCAGAATATAAATATGTAGTTTATTAGAATCTACGTTGGACTTCCAATTAACCTTGAATTATGCTTACTACATGATAAATCCTAATATATCTGTGAAGTATTTAACACTATATTTCGAAACAATTACTATGCTATAAGATAGAAAGTAGTCCAGAAACCAAGGAATAACTCTGACAAAGTCGCTTCATATCAGGTTTTTCCAACAGAAACTTGACAACTCTAAACTTTCACTGTGGACGCACCTTTAAATCAATTACCGAACTGTCAATGTCAAAACATTCAGTAAGGAAAACATTTTCATCATGGTAAAGTACACGAACGAACAACGCTTACAAACAATTAAAATTTACTACCGAAATTCCTAGTTGGTGTGCAATTTTAATAGCGTTAACGCCAATTTTTGGTCGTAATTCTCATCCCAGTAGACAAGCAATTCATAGTCTAGTAAAAAAATTTGAGCCCACATAATCGCTGCTGGATGTTCCCGTGCCAGTGAGACAACGAGTTGGTGCCGAGAACATTGCTGCCGTTCAAGCTTCCGTCGTAAATGAACAGAACACGTCGATCCCACGGCGTTCTCAAGAATTGGACATCGCTTAGACCACATTATGGCGAATTATGCGAAGAGATCTTGGCCTGAAACCTTATAAGATCAAGTTAACTCACGAACTAAAGCCGTTCGACCATATGAAGCGATGTACGTTCTCGAATTGGGCTCTAGAAATGTTGCAAGAAAATGACTAATTTTATCGCAAAATCATCTTCAGTGATGAGGCGCATTTTTGGCTAAATGGCTTAGTCACAGAAAATGCGTTATTAGTCAGGTCAAAATCCTCATGTGCTTCAAGAAACACCACTTCATCCAGAAAAAATAATTGTATGGTGTGGTTTTCATGCCGGTAGAGTCATTGGGCCGTTTTTTGTTCGTTGATGAAAATGACCGTCACGTTACAGACAACGGAGATCGCTACAGAGACATGTTGCAACGTTATTTTTTGGTCAGTTGGATGGGGTAGACATTAATGATATATGTTGTTTCAATAAGACGGTGCCACAATCCACACAGCGGGTGAAACAATCGACATATTGAAATCAAACTTCGGTGAACGTGTTATATCGAGAAATGGTCCTGTAGAATGGCCGCCCAGATCGTGTAATTTCACACCTCTAGACTTTTCTTTTATGGGGCTACATTGAATCATTGGTCTATGCCAACAAGCCGGCGGCGGCGCCATTAAAGGAGCTCAGAGCCAACATTGAACGGGAGATAGCGGCTGTTTCTGTCGAAATGTGTGGCCGAGTAATTGAAAATTGGCTTCCACGAATCGATCGCTGCGAACGTGCCCATGGTGGATATAGGAACGAGGTCGAATTAACGAGATATCGAGATTTTAATAACAAAACATATTGCTCAGCTGCATTTCTCGATGTATTTCAAGCATTTGACAAGGTTTGACATTAAGGCCTGTACCTTGAATTAAAGCAACTCCTCGCTGATCCTCAATACTTGATTCTGAAATAGTACCTGACAAATAGGTACTTCTTCGTAAAGCATTGTACTGAGTCCACATCGATTAAGCCTATTGGTTCCGGGGTCCCACAAGGACCCACTCTCTACCTTCTGTATTCTGCAGATCTACCAACTGCAAATGTTGTATTCACAGCAACATTTGCAGATGATACGGGTATCTTGATATCTCATGAGAATCTAGACATAGCGCCGCAGAATATCCAGAGAAACTTGCTCCAAATTTAGGACTGGCTAGAAAAATGGCGCATAAACGGTAAAGAAACATGTGATATTCACCTGATGTAGAAAAACCTGCTCACCAGCAAATATCAATAATTTACAAATTCCATAATCAAATAATGCGAAGTATCTCGGAATGCATTTCGACAGAACGCTTACAAGGCATCAAACTCAAAGAGATGTACTGGATTATTGGTAGGAAATATAAACTGTCACTGGCCAACAGGCTATTACTCTATAATGCCTTGCTGAAATCAATTTGAACGTATGCCATCTAGTTAAGAGCAATATTGCCATCCTCCAGCGGATACAGAATAAGCTCCAAAGAGTGATCGTCGATTCACCATACCTATTACGTTCTTAATGATCCGATTCAGAGTGACATACCTCTCCCTACAATCAACAAAGTGGTTCACGAAGTCGGTGATAGATACAGAGAAAGTGTTGAAACACATCCTGGTGTGTTAGAAAACCGACTATATGTGTCTAATATTGAGCTAGTGAAAAGGTTATGGTGCCATTTACCTTCTGACTTAGTTATAGGACCACGATAATCAATTTAGTTTAAGATCGAGATCACTCACCGGAGTGATGCTTTGCATGTCTTTTTTTTAGATTAAATTAGTTTGAAAATATCATTATTGCCGATACGGGCAGAATGCTGCTTTCTTTGAGGAGTTCTTTAAAAAAAAGCTAGTTAAGTGGTAGAATAGCTTATGCTAAACTTCGTTTTATTATTATTATTATTTCTGAACTATCTCCAGCAGCCTATTCATGTAGCCATATCCGTTCAACAGGTTACAAAACCATTGGATAGAGAGGAAAAAGATAAATACGTAATTTTGATAAAAGCTACAGAAGACTGCGCTAGACCACCCAAAAACGAAAGCTTTTTCGATGAAGACGACGACACGCAACTGAAAGTAATTGTTGATGTTTTGGGTAAGGATAGCAAAGCTTATACACGCTCGAAATCAGATTTAATTTTTTTGATAAAGGTGCTGCAGAACGTCGCTAATCCGTTTTTCCTGTGGCAGCTTAATGATTAACTTCTTTCTGAGGATTTCTCAAGAATCCAATCAATTGTTGTTTGAACTTTGAAGACAATGAGCATGTTCGAGATGTTGACTCTCGGTCTTCCATTGTCCAAGTTTTTTGTTTCACGACGTGTCGATTGATATGATCTTCAATCTTCAGTTCAAGCTTTATAGACAATAGAATTCCGAGAAATAAGATCTCAATCAAATTAATTTTTTTTATACTCGACCTACCACGAAGGCCTAAGGCCTAAACACCCATGGGGTAACCGTGTGGCTATAGGGGGATGCAGGGGAAAGGGGGGGATGCCACATGGAGGTAACGGAACGGGGGCTTGGTAAGGGTATACCAGAATTGTTGGTACCCATATGGATACACTTTATCTTATTCTATTGCAGACGTTAACGACAACCCGCCAAAGTTCATCCACAAAATATTCACTGGAGGTGTAAGCACAGCTACACTCTTTGGTACGAAATTCATGCACGTTAAAGCTGAAGATCCAGACCTTGGCGAGAATGCAGTCGTATCGCATTATCTCGTTGGAAAAGTGCAAATGACTCTTACCGAGGGTCTGGAAAACCTTCAAAGGACACCGTTCATTGTGGAAAGAGAAACCGGTGCAGTCCAGCTTAATTTTGACCCTCAAAGAGGCATGAAGGGATACTTCGATTTCATGGTATGTATTGCATCATATCATGCGGAGAAAATAGGAAAATAACGGGCAAAATCCGCAAAAAGAAGTAAAGTGGATTCGACCAGAAAATAAGATAGGTAACCCGAGCGATACGTATTTCTGCTGGTTGGCTTCATCAGGCCCGAAATGAATGCACATATGCAACTACAAAAGTAGATACACATGCCCATACATCCGGATACGGGTGTAAACTGAGCAAATGAAGATGGAGAGGGAAAAAATGACAGACGATAATTTTCTCTTTGTAGATCCCTTGGGCTTGAAGTACCACAACAAGTGGCTATAGCCAGCCGCGTGGTTGTGGTTAGTGGTCGCCTTAAAAATTCGAGGGCTTCCAGCCATTTTATACTACATTGTGTAGGTTGGCTCTTGTTGTGGACTTCGTGTGTTATTTTTGTCCCTCCCTATCTTCGTTTCCTCAGGCTACACCGGTATCCGGATGTATGGGCATGTGTATCTATATATATACAGGGTGACTTCGAAGTTGAGTCATTCATTTTAACAGTGAGTAGATATGATCAAAAGAAATGTTTTTTTCCTTTACCATTTTTCTGGTAAAATTAAAGTAACAAAGTTATAGCCCTTTGGAAGTTTGAGTACCGCCCTGTTTCAATAATATCATGTACTCGTGTTTGGCAACAACGGATATAATCCACCTTATCGGTTCATCGCATCGGAAACAAAAAAGCGAAAGAATTTGGAACGATGTTTATTTTATTCAGTTCAGTTATACATACAGTCGCGTGTGAATAGTGTCTGTTGCGTGGCTCAAACGAAATAAAAAATGGCACATGTTTATGCGGATCGGTTTCCCAATCGAGTGCAACCAACCCCTCGTGCCTTTGTTAATGTAGTACAACGGGCTCGTGAATCAGGTGACTTCAGACCTCACAGGGGACCTCACGATCAAATACAGGTCCGCACTGAAATACTTGTCGGGAGGATACTTTATAAAACAAGGTAAAAATTTTTTTTTATATTTTTTTTATTTTTATACACATATTTTGGTTTATCTTCCTTCTACAATCATTATCTGAAAATTAATGACTCAACTTCAAAGTCACCCTGTATATACAGGGTGGCCAAACACGTGACGTCATAAAAAAAAAATTAGATTCCCCACATCGAGAGGAACCCAAATCACCCCCATATATATGGTCCGATTTTGTTTAGTTTAGGAGTTATGATTTTTTTTCGGATTTTTCGAGAATTTTTGAGTTCTGTGTTTATTTTTACCATAACTTCGTTAATAATTGTGATAAATGCCTGCTTTTTTCACGATTATGTAGCTAAGACCTAAGGCTTAACTATCATATAATCATTCAAGTCATGTAACTAATACTACTTTTTAATTTTTTTCAAAATCTTCGAACATAACAAAAAAGTAAAAAAGTGCAACAACTTTGAACGTTTATAAAAAATTGAAAAAACATGTTCTTACTATTCGTAAGTATCTTAAAAACTTCCTTACGGTATCAGCTATTTACCGTAAAAATTTCATCAACCTAGCTTTACTACATGCTACCGTAATTGTGGCTCAAATAGAACCGAACCCAACATTGGATAACCCTCTGCTCAATAGAAATTGTTAGTTTCGGAAAAAAAATTTGCAAAAACCACAAAAACACGTTTGATTTTTACTGAACAGCAGATTATTATTCATTTATGTTATTTACAAGAGGTTTTCAAAATGTCTGCCTCTAACAGAAATGCACAGTGTACACCTACGTATGAAATTTTGTTTTAAATCTCTAAATGCTTGTGTGTTGTTTTTCAACACATGTGCCGCTTCTTGAATTTTGTTCCTCAATGAATTTTCATTTGCACATTCTTGGGCGAATGTTATGTCTTTAAAATATCCCCAAACAAACAAATCAATGGGGTTGAGGTCAGGGGAGCGTGGAGGCCATCGTATCGGTCCGTTTCGTCCGATCCATCTGTCTGGGAACCTTTCGTTTAAGTAGTTTCGCACGATCGTTGCGTTGTGGCATGGTGCACCATCATTCTGGAACACCATGTTCCGTCTGGCTTCCAGGCTTGAATCTTCCAGCAATAATGGTAGGCTATTTTCAAGGAAGCTTTTGTAGGCTACCGAATCCAACCTTGACGGCAGTTCAAATGGACCGATAAATTCCATATTGAATATTCCTGACCACATGTTCACACTAAAACGGTGTTGAAATGTCGACGGCCTTGACTGGTGGGGGTTTTCAACAGCCCAAGTATGTAAATTATGGATATTGAATATCCCTGTTCTTTCAAAACGTGACTCGTGAGTCCATAAAATTTTATCAAAAAAATCGGGATCCTCTCGTTGTCTTCGCAGCATTGTCTCGCAGAAATCCACTCTTAACTGGTAATCTGAAGGCATCAACGCTTGAACAGGCTTGGCAGGCCGCATTCCAGGACGAGGAAGCAATGAAGGATATCCTACAGCTGATCCGGATCGCAGAGAAGTAGTACTTGAAGAAATTAGCCGGAATCCCTCAACGAGTACGAGATCTAAGGCACAAAACCTTAGAATACCACGAACATCGATACAAAATATTCTTCATGAAGAAGGTTATCATGAATATCATGTTCAAAGAGTTCAAGCGTTGATGCCTTCAGATTACCAGTTAAGAGTGGATTTCTGCGAGACAATGCTGCGAAGACAACGAGAGGATCCCGATTTTTTTGGTAAAATTTTATGGACTGACGAGTCACGTTTTGAAAGAACAGGGATATTCAATATCCATAATTTACATACTTGGGCTGTTGAAAACCCCCACCAGTCAAGGCCGTCGACATTTCAACACCGTTTTAGTGTGAACATGTGGTCAGGAATATTCAATATGGAATTTATCGGTCCATTTGAACTGCCGTCAAGGTTGGATTCGGTAGCCTACAAAAGCTTCCTTGAAAATAGCCTACCATTATTGCTGGAAGATTCAAGCCTGGAAGCCAGACGGAACATGGTGTTCCAGAATGATGGTGCACCATGCCACAACGCAACGATCGCGCGAAACTACTTAAACGAAAGGTTCCCAGACAGATGGATCGGACGAAACGGACCGATACGATGGCCTCCACGCTCCCCTGACCTCAACCCCATTGATTTTTTTGTTTGGGGATATTTTAAAGACATAACATTCGCCCAAGAATGTGCAAATGAAAATTCATTGAGGAACAAAATTCAAGAAGCGACACATGTGTTGAAAAACAACACACAAGCATTTAGAGATTTAAAACAAAATTTCATACGTAGGTGTACACTGTGCATTTCTGTTAGAGGCAGACATTTTGAAAACCTCTTGTAAATAACATAAATGAATAATAATCTGCTGTTCAGTAAAAATCAAACGTGTTTTTGTGGTTTTTGCAAATTTTTTTTCCGAAACTAACAATTTCTATTGAGCAGAGGGTTATCTAATTTTGGGTTCGGTTCTATTTGAGCCACAATTACGGTAGCATGTAGTAAAGCTAGGTTGATGAAATTTTTACGGTAAATAGCTGATACCGTAAGGAAGTTTTTAAGATACTTACGAATAGTAAGAACATGTTTTTTCAATTTTTTATAAACGTTCAAAGTTGTTGCACTTTTTTACTTTTTTGTTATGTTCGAAGATTTTGAAAAAAATTAAAAAGTAGTATTAGTTACATGACTTGAATGATTATATGATAGTTAAGACTTAGGTCTTAGCTACATAATCGTGAAAAAAGCAGGCATTTATCACAATTATTAACGAAGTTATGGTAAAAATAAACACAGAACTCAAAAATTCTCGAAAAATCCGAAAAAAAATCATAACTCCTAAACTAAACAAAATCGGACCATATATATGGGGGTGATTTGGGTTCCTCTCGATGTGGGGAATCTAATTTTTTTTTTATGACGTCACGTGTTTGGCCACCCTGTATATATATATATAGGTGAAGAATTAAAGCTTCCGCCTTTTGTTGGGTACTTCGACAAAATTTAAGCAAAGAGGACTCTTTATACTTTTTTAATTCTCTCTAGCTTTCAATGGACTTTGCCATCATCATCAGGAGAGTAGTATGTGAGGATGTTGCTAATTGTTGTTTACGTATAGGATGAGGGAAACGTCCAGTAACATGGTGAGAGCTGGATAGATGGTACAATGGTCAAAATTATATAAAATATGACAATAACAAGTTAAAAACAGATTAAAAATTATTTAAAAAACATTAGAGCATTACATCGTGAAGCCACTTGATGATTGCACAAAATGGTGCAACCACGTCTCAAGTTATATATATATATATATATATATATATAAATATATTATTCAGCCTACTTGAAATAATTAGGTGTTACAGGATATGAATTCCTTCGCAACGTATCCCATGTATGACATATCACCAGGAAGACAGAAAAAATATATTGTCATACATGTCTATTGTACTTGAGAAAGGCCACAAACAATGCGATTTGAAAACAAGTTGAAAGAGGAGTCAATAGCATAATAACTGCATTCATGATTCCTTTCAGGTGCTAGCAAATGATACTGGAGGTTTAAAAGACACCGCTAGAGTGTTCATTTATCTGCTCAGGGAGGATCAGAGGGTGCGATTTGTTCTTAGACAGCAACCAACTGAGATAAGGGATCGAATAGAAGTATTCAGAGAGTAAGTGGTGTGAATTTTTCAAATCCCCTCAGATTAGTAAAGGTTTTTAAATTGAAATTTCAACGAATTTAACTTATTTTACATTCTCCAGAGTACTCGGAAACGTGACAGGTGCCATAGTCAACGTAGACGAATTTAGGGTGCACGCGAACCATGATGGTACAGTAGACAAGACGAGGACGGATTTATATTTACATTTGGTTGATAGAAACGATAATTCTATATTGGAGGTAGAAGAAGTATTGCGATTAGTGGACCAGAACACTGAAAGGCTTGATCCATTGTTTAAGGTAGGATATCTAGTTACACTCAAAAGAATGGAGTCAAGAAGGTTGACTCTGCAAGCAAATGCAATGTTTATAAAGGATTATCGAAATGTATTTGTTTGCTTAAGGTTTACTTAGCATGATTCCTACAATTACATTCTTTTTACAAATCTAAAAAATTACATCATAATATACATCTATTTAGTAAAATAATAATAATATAGAATTTTCACTGTCCATGTAATCCCTTCTGAAATATCGATTTGCTTGCTATATTGCAATTGCAATTTTTCTAATGGAAATCTATATTTCCTCTTGTATATTAATTGTGGTAATGATTATGCAATCCTATGTAGTGTTCTAAATGTTGTGGAAAAGATTTTTTTATTTTAAATATGAAAATAAGAAAAAATATCGCTGTTACTATGTTTGAAAATGTTCGACGCGAAATTACGGACCGGCTGTTATTGTGTCAAGAAGTTCAAGGCAACCATTTCCAGCATCTTCTAAACTGAACTCAACGTATTTATTCGAATTATCAAGTTAAATGTTAATGTATTCAGGTAATTATTAAATGTACCACCATTGTAGTAGGTAAAGGTATTGACTTTATATTCTAGGGTTATAAAGTACCCGTCAGGAGCTTCAAAATGATGTGCCACAAGACCCCCGTTTTCATATAATTTTTTTACAAGATGGCGCTCAGCGGTCAACTTGACATTTTCATCTGTCAATTTTACTCTAAAATATGGTACCCATCAATGTCATTACCTCAAGTTTTAATTATTTGAATTATCCGTTCAAAAAATGAAAGGTGAGGGGGACATTAAAGAAAAGCACTGTATATATACTCGTACCTAATTATTTAATTGATTCAAAATTTTCAATTATTTCACCATTTACCCTAACTGTGTTAGTATTTTCATATAAGTGTTTCGCTATAAGCATACATTTTGTTTTAGAAGCATTCAACTTTAGTTTATTTACATTCAACCAATTTATGATTTTTGCCAAGTCAGAATTTAGCATTTTTAAAGCAGTGACCATAGTTTAATATCAATGAATCATTTGCAAAAATCTGAATTTTACACATGCCACTAATGTAAAAAAATAGTAGTGGACCTAGTTTACTACCTTGAGGTATACCAACAGAAATATGTTTTGAGCTTGATAATGTAGATCCAATTAGTCTTGTCGAATTTTGAATACAGATCCTTTAAGTCCATAGTGATGTAATTTGTCCCTGTCAATACGAGTAGTTTCAAATGCCCTTTTGTTCAGACTTTTTCAACATCTGGCCGCATATTGGTGTACAACTCAAAATTCTTAAAAGAATATGGTTTTGTTTATCTCTTACAACATGTTTTTGTAGCAAAAAAAGTAAACTGATATTTCTTGTTTTATTCAAGTACGTAATACTACTTCCATATTATATTTTTATGATATTTATATTCGCATGAAATTAGCGAATGTGAATATAATTTAATAAAACATGCGAATATTTGTTACGCCACTAGTACAATCCTGTGTTGAACCCAATGTTTTTGAGCAAAGTTGAAACTACCAGTAACAATCGTACGATCAATTTATTTTTATTTTTAATTCGACTTAAAAACTCCTTGAAATTATTGAACTTTGCCGGTTTAACCGCACACTTAACGCCCTAGATACATAAATAACTACTCTGTAACAATGTACCATATGTTAGATATACATTTTATTATAGTAATCATAGCTCCCACAATTAAATAGCCATGAAATATCCATTTTGAAAAATGATGAATGGACAATGATGAAAACGGATTAACATCTAATTTAAAATCAGAAATTATTATCTAATATAACATCATGCACCATAAAAAGCTTTTAAATAGACGTATATTTGATTTAAGCGCGTGATAACTATGACACGAATACTGCTTCCGTATGACATATAATTTAACACAATGTTACCTCAAACAGTTGTATCCTCCAACTCAAAATGTCTGCCTTTGTTTTATTACTAATGACAGCGCATATAGCAGAATCATCTATAGTTTTAAATCAAGAAAATAGTGTCGTTTGGAAGATAGACAGTTTAATTAAAGCAGTGGTTAAAAAAACGATGACATCAAGATTAATTTTTATACTGAATAACAAAGTGTGCTACGATTTAATGTCAATACATTCAGAAGTGGGATATATTGTGACCAATGGAAGTGTGGAAGATATAGGAACTGTCGAGTCATCTGTTATTATACATTGCGATACATACGAACATTTTCCTCAAAGCCAGGAGAAGCTTTTTAGTTATCCATTTTATATAAAGCTTTCCCGTTCTATTTTTGTCATATACAACGAAATGCAATTGGAAACAACAGAGCGTATTCTGGAGATGATTTGGAATAGGGACATCAAGAATTTTGTCGTTGCATGTGTTAATCAAAATGTTGTCAAAGTATATTCATATAATGGATTTAACAAAGATGCAAAAGTGGAATATTACAATCCACCATTCCTTGATTTGAACTTGGATAAACAAAAAAATCTGTATGGAGCTATATTCAAAGTAGCAATTTTCGACGACTATCCAAGAAACTATGTTAAACACGGCTCATGGACGGGCAAAGATTACTATATGATCAGGCATATAGTGAAAGCTTTAAATGGTACCATGGTGCTGAAACAAGTTGAAACCGATTACGGACTCTTAGTAGACACAGTGAAAACAGGAGAAGCAAACGTTTCTGCAATATCAAAAATGATGGATATGGGAATAACCAGTGTGGACTATGCATATCCACATATCATACAACATCTATTGGTGGCTCTACTAAACCCAGACGAAATACCACCGTACATGTATGTGCTGGGGCTCTTCAATATTCGTGTTTGTTTCATCACGTTCGCCGTACCTTTGCTGCTATCATTTTTTCACACCAAAGTTTTTCAACGACAAAGTCGCTTTACAGACCTGGCATTTGATTATTTTGGAACTACTTTAGGTGTACCTGTCACCAAATTTGAACCGAAAAGGACTATTTTACTGAGTTCTTGGTTGATTTTTGCTGTATCATTTTGCTCCATTTTGACTAGCTACTTCATCACTGTAGCTACTGACGTTCAATACGAGAAGAAGATAAGGTCCATAGCAGAACTTAAAGATAGCCAAATACAGCTATCCACCAGCATAATGCTGAAAAGACTAGTACCCCCAAAATACTATCTGCCCGTTAGGATAATCAATATGGCAGTGCTACGAGAAATTTATATCTATGGTCCTGAGTACCATAGTAACATAACAGGAGCGTTGGTGCTACCAAGTACGGTGACAGACGTATTAAAAAATATGTTCAAGAATACAACCAGAAACTTCTACATAATGGAAGAGTCCTTGGCGACTTGCGTCTCCGCGTTCCTTCTGCCTAAACATTCGGTTTTCACGAACCACGTGACCGAACAAGTGATGAGGCTGAAAGCACACGGATTTGGAGAATTACGAAGAAATGCACTTAGAAAAAGCACAGAAGAAAAGAAGATTTTGAATCTATCGCACCTGATGGGTAGTTTTGTGCTTTTGGCTATTGGATATGTACTCAGCATTTTCGTATTCATTGGTGAAATATGTCTGCACTACTTGGTGAAGAGGAAGAAAATATGAGTTGGGATATTGAATTTGAAGATTTCTATGTTTTCTCAGTAATAGTAAATAGATTAAATACCAATGATGTAATTTTGCAATAAGCTGTGTAAAAATGTAATTGATCTCGGATTATACATATAAAAAATAAACTGTTAATATTCCTATGATGCTAGTTTTAATACAACGATTATAGATGGTAAAACAAGAATTTGACGAACTGCATAGAGAAGAAACCAATTAGTACCAGTAGCATAGTCAATAGTCCAATCATTTGGTGTTTAAAAAAGGGGTTGACTGGATGGAAAGTTTTTGGGTTGTTTGAAAATGTTAATATCGTCATAGATATCCATGATACAGGGCGAAATTGAAAATGTTGCTTTTCAGAACCCCCTCATATCTCCGTTATTCTTAACACATCGCAGAGCTAAAAATTGACACTTACGCAGTTTCTTACGTAAAATGCAGTGGCTTAATATTTTTTTGCTGTGAGCTGTCAATTTTTAATATAATGTAAAAAATACTGTCTAAAAGAGATTGAACAATTCGGGCTTTGTGAGCGGGAGCACCATCCTGTTCGAGTTGTATCCTGTTATGATAAGCTTAAGGGACATTGTCTACTCGTAGTAACACAAGGATAACGTCTTCCACAATTTCAAGACATCTGCCTCCTGTCTATTAACAATAGCTGCACTCAGAAAGTAGGCCTCGTCGGACCATATTATTCAGGGTGTAAACGTTATGATAGTCATTATTTATATGGGGGTTAAAAGAAGCAAAGAGTGTCATATAACATGGGGGTCAAAACGGTATTTTTTTAGAGAAAAGCGACTTTAACGTAAAATAAAATCTGACAACGCCGCAATGCCAGACCCAAATTACGACGGAACGCAGTGTAAATAAAGATTGAGTTTGTTATTTTTGGCTATTAGGTTTTATTTCATTATTTGATTATGTACTCGTAAAATGCAAACAATTAAAAAAAATGGACTTACCACTAACTGTCTCAACGCTTCACCTGGTGTGTGGAAGTTTATTGAACGTATTAAAAAAAATCCACTTATAAATGGGGAACACAATTTTGATACATACATTGTTATTCTTTTTAAAACCCACACTGCACTTTTTTTGTATTTAAAGAAGGTGTTCCACACAAGCTTCATTACGACCTTCACTAATGGTATGAAGATTTCCTTGAGCCCACGTGTGAGTATTATGGAAATGAATAGTGTTTTTAAAAAATCCGGATTCTCAATGTTTTTGTGCAAAAACCACTGACAGAATGTTAGTCTGCGAGTCTTCTGGTAACAAGGCTCGTTGTACATAGTAGGGATAAAGCAAATTTTGCCGTAGGATTCTAAGGACTATGGTATGCGATAGTCCTACGCGGCGGCCTAATTCCCGAGTGCCGATATCTGCATTGATTTCCACGATATTTAAAATTTGTTCTTCCTGTTCTACAGTAACCCGCCTTTCACGAGTGCGAATATTAGTGGGCTGAACACTTCCTGTATCTCGAAGTCTTTGGTACACTTGCACAAATGTCCTTCTGTCTGGGTGTACCAGTTGGCGAAATCTGTCGCGATAAATTTGAGCTGCAAGATTTAAATTCTTGACCGTAAACTAATAACATGTCGGCGAACTCTTGATTCGAGAACATTGTAAATCAAGACGACGACGTACGCGAACAAAAACAAAACAACTAACATAACACACTAACCACTGTTACCGTTTGCGCTGTTGTCATGTCTGTTTTAAATATTCAATTTAATGAAACTTACTACAAATTTTGGGTTAACTTAGAAAAACTTAATGCCATTTATTTTTTAATTACCCAATTTAAAACGTTATAGATTAGATTATAAAAATTAGTAAGATTGTGGTGATTGTGGTCGATATAAGGCACTTAAAGTTGTAAACTATGAAGCCATTTAGACAAAAATCTATTGACTTTTGGACTATGGATCATATGAACTTTTTGACTTGTTTTGACCCCCCTATTACCCATTTCAATAATGACTACCATACCGTTTACACCCTGTAGAAATGTTGTTATCGATACGAATTTGTTCTAAATACCAGTTGCAAAACAGTAAACATATCACGTATTATATATTTTTGCACGGCTCATACAATTTGGATCAAATGAGAATAATATACAGGGCATCCCATTAAAAAACATAAGTTTGATTCATAGCTAAAAATTGACATCTCATAGAAAAAATCTGGATTCTACGTGAAAAATTGTATCAGGGTCAGCTTTTAGCTTTGCGATGTGTTAAAGTATAACGGGGATACGATAAATGCAATGTTTGCAATTTCGCCTGTATCTCAGAAACAAGGCGAGCTATGAAAATTTTGTTTATACGAACTTTCTTTCAAAAAAGTAGCACAGTATTTACTAGTAAGTGAGATACCCCACCCCGTAATATCACAGAAAATGGGACACTCCGTACTTTTTCCGAAGTTTCACTTTGCTACCTCGAACCTATCCCGCTTCAACCGCCAAACTGAGAAAAATTGTCTCAAGTAGGTTGACTCTGCACTTCCCACGCAACACTGTTATCAGTTCGTAAAAGATTATGATCGGCTTGTTAGCCCCTCTTAGAAAGAAGTTAACTACGAATATGTATAACAAAGAAATGTAATCTATCAAGTCAGTCAAAAAGGCCCAAGACATGTCTGAGCAATTTTTATTTTTTCCTTTTTTGACTGCATCGATTTTTCAAACTACAAAGAAGCGACTTACTCTATTACGAATGAAAGCGAACTCTTTCACTGAATTTTGTTGTTTGGAAAAACATTAAAAATCTTTCGGCGAATCCTTTCCGATATTTTGTCTAATTCAATTTGACGTTACCTACGTTTATCAAGAGTTTAAGTGCAGACTTCAACTTTCCAAAGCTCCCTGAAACCTTCCAGTAACACTATCAAATGATTGGGCTATAAAATCAAGATATAGATGGGTTTATGAATAAAAATACAGGATACATAAGAATGGCCACTATGGCTATCTATGGTTGCAAATATACTACTATACTAAGTGACATATAAATCCGAACACCCAGTTTAAATGGTTTTATTTTAATAAAAGTTGGTGAATGTATTTATCCTTACTGTAAATAACAAGTGAAAAAATTTTCAGCCTTATCAGTTGGACATTCCGGTTTTTATACTGCTTTTTTTTAATTCACTAACGCTCTAAAAATGAATATTTCAGCCGCAGTAAAGAATCAACGTTGGCGGATTTTGGTTCTTGACATCCTTTACGATCGGTTACGATGCCTAGAGTACGGAGACCTGTACGATTTCGTCAACTTAGTGAGTTTGATAGGGGCCGTATAGTGGGACTTCGGGAAGCTGGACTTTCTTTTCGGGCAATTGCAGTTAGAGTGCAAAGAAGTGTAGACACTGTGGTTAGGTGTTGTCAGGCATGGCTTCGAGAACGCCGTACGCAAAGAGCAAGGGGCACTGGACGCCGCCGTAGAACAACAGACCGTGAAGATCGCCGCCTAAGATTATTGGCCTTAAGGGACCGTTTCTCCACTATCAGGTCCATTGCAAATAAATGGTTTACAGAACACGGAAGACCTATTGGCATGCGAAGTGTTTACCGACGAATGAGAAGTTTTGGCTTGTTTTCATACCGGCCACACTGGGTCCTCCCTTTAACTCGAGAACACCGACGTAATCGACTTGAGTGGTGCAGACAACGGTCACTCTGGGATCAGGAATGGAACAGTATTGTCTTTAGTGACGAGTCTAGATTTTGTTTAGGCATGCACGATGGTCGTGCCAGGGTTAGAAGGCGATGTGGTGAAAGGAGGAATCCACAGTTTTTTGTTGAAAGACATGTTCATCACACTGTTGGAGTTATGGTTTGGGGTGCTATAGCTTATGGTTCCAGGTCACCTTTAATCTTCATCAGAGGTAACATGAACGCGCAGCGTTATATCCACGAAGTTCTAGAACCCCATCTTTTACCCTATCTTGACAGCCTGGCAGATCCAACTTTCCAACAAGATAATGCCCGACCACATGTTGCAAGAGTCACAATAGACTTCTTTCAACATAATGATGTCACATTGTTACCATGGCCACCAAGATCTCCCGACTTATCCCCAATTGAGCACATGTGGGATATGATGGGTAGGAGATTGCTCAATTTGCAACGTCTTCCTCAGACTCTAGAAGCACTTCGAGAGGAGTTGGTGGTTGCCTGGAATGAGATACCACAGGAGGACATTGACCACCTGATCAGAAGCATGCCTAGGCGCGTTGGAGAATGCGTAGCACATCAGGGTGCATCCACATATTATTAAAGGTCAAAGGGCTTTAAAGCAGTGCAATCATTTTGAAATTTTTATCATTAACTTATTATGCTTCATTAAGTACTTATACAAAATTTTATTAAAATAAAACCATTTAAACTGGGTGTTCGGATGTATATGTCACTTAGTATATTTCAAATTTATTTTAGGACTTTAACGTATTGGATACCCAACCAGGCGGAACGTCAGCCCTAAGAGCCCAAATACAAAATGCCAATATTACGTTCTGGCTAAGCGCTAGTACCCTATTTTTACTTCTGTTACTGCTGCTTTGTTTAGCCTTATGCATAAACCAGAGGCAGATGTACCATCGAAAACTGAAAGCAGCAACTGCAACAGCGTATGGTGAGCACAAACACATATGAATATAATACCTAGTCGTAATAACAAACTGTATTCCTGGTGATGTATCAGGGACACTAGAACTGAAATCTATCTGGCCATGAGAAAAACAATTGAAGCGCACAAGCATAATATGTCAAATACTGGCATGTGTTCTACCCTTACTTGCAAAATTTGAGTTTATTTTGATAATTAGTTTCCAAATTATAAAGTGAATTGTGCGGAAAAATGAGTAACTCATAGTTAGAATATCGCAGTATCATAAGATTTCTGACAAAAGAGGGCCATCAGCCAAAAACAACTCTTGAGAGAATGGTTGCCGTCTATATGGATGATGCACCATCATTATAATAAAATTTTGATCGAAACAGTTACGATGAGGACGTGTATACATAGAAGCCGGTCCAGATGTGGTAGACCCAAAACAGCAAATAATGAAATGACTCAAAAAGTTGAAGTCAATAGTTTTGTGTGAAGGTCTCTACCATTAATATCGAATTCAATATATCGGAACCCAGCATAATAACCATCTTGCACGACAATTTGAACATGAGTGAGGTGTCACCCAGCTGGGTACCACGATTGTTAACACCTGAAAAAAAAACTGCGCTGGTTGGAAATGTCAGAAAATCATTTGGAAACTTTGACCAACGATTTTTTGCACAAATTGTGATGGGCGACAAGACTTGGCTGCATCATTGAGAGCCTGAGACAAAAAAAGAATCTCAGCAGGGGGTTCATAAAGGGTCTTCACCCCCCAAAAATGAGCGGACGAAAGCCTCTGCTGGAAAATTCATAGCAACCGTTTTTTGGGACAGCAGGGGCATCCTTTCCATTGAGTATATGCCATAGGGGACAACAATAAATATGGACGTCGATGTAAATGCGCTGGAAAATTTACGTAATGCAATCAACCAGAAAAGACCCGATTTTTCCAATCGAGAAGTGTTTCTGATGCATGACAATACGACCGCGCACAGGGCTGCCAAAATTAAACCAATTGTGGCGGAATGCAGCTTCGTGGCGATAGACCATCCTCCCTTTAGTCTGGACTTGGCTCCGTCTGACTTTTATCTCTTTAGATTATTAAAGGAAAATCTTCGAGGACGTCGTCTTGACCCAGAAAATGGTCTTAAAGAAGCCGGCAACAACTTTTTTCAAAGTCATTTTAAAATAAGCTTATACGTCCACTGGAGGAGAAATAGCGCAAGAGCATTGATTAGGGGAGAGCATTCTATTGAAAAATAGAATTATACAAAAATTATCGTATATGTTTTGTTTCATGGCTAGGTAGATTTCTTTTCTAGTGTGCTTCGTAGTATTGCTATAAAAGTTATAGTCATTCACATAAGAAATAAAAATAATATCTACGTTCACTATTGTACATTCAGCGCCACGTTACTCGGTAGCGAAAACGATAGAACATATTGTTGCTATTTTCAATCTCTACGAGAATATCTACGCTGTTTGAACCAAAACATGGATATAATGATAATGTCAAGCATATTTTAAAAAACGTTTTTTTTTTCAGTGAGTGCAGATGATATGGACAGCAAAGGTCTAAGTATCCTCAGCGGCAGAGTGCCAAATACAAATAAACATAGTTTAGAAGGAAGCAACCCAATATGGTTGCAAGCATATGAAAACGAGTGGTACAAGAATTCTGATGATATCAGGTTAGTATTAAAATCTGAGATATGCCAAAACTTTATTTAGCTTCTTCATAGTGCTCACTGAATGTCAATTGTACCAAAAAAATCTGATTTTCTCTTAACCATCAAAACTCCAAGATTCCAGAGGAAAATTTTTAAATTCCTGGACGAATACTCATTTACGGCAAACCGGCAACCCTTGCAATTTCCTTCGAGAAATTTTCAAAACTTCCGCGTATACTTGATCTGCACGAAAGCTCGTTTCGAGGTAAATCAGATCCGTAGATCACGAATCGGATGTCAATATGAGCCTAGCACCCAAGAGTATCTCAGGGAGCTCAATTTCTACCCTAAATGTCCCGACGATACCTGATGATTTTTTATGGTGGTATTCAAATTCGGGGCACCAAATAACCTTTCTACTAACCTGAGACATCGCCATAATTTACAGGATTTTTCTTAAGAATTACATTTCTCACCCTAGGTAAATAATGTTAAAAAAACTCTCTAGGTAAATAATGAATGTGTGTCCTCTCACTTTATATAAATAACGTGTTCGGTCAATAATTTTACTATTCCACTAAGGTATTTAACCTACTATTATACAGGGAGTTCCACAACTTATCCGACAAAGTTTAACTACATATGCACTGTTGCGAAAGAAGCTGATTTCTCAAAAAAAAATTGTAATAAAAGTCCTACAATGTCCACTAACTTCTCACTAGTGTACACATGTGCAATTTTATTAATAAATAACTAAAAACATAAACTCGCAAAATACTTTCTTATTTAACTTCACAAAAATCGACCGTTCTTCATTCAGATCACCCATTATACAGATTAAACTTTATTTACACGTTCTTATCAGTATGAAAAAAATCAAAAAGTCGTGGTATTTTGTTTTCGTCATTTGGTTGGTACAACATTTGCTACAATAAATTATTAATGCTTGTTTTAATATTACGACGATGAACGCAAAATACAGATATTTATTTTTCAATTTATTATTGAAACTCAGGCTTATAACTTAATTTCCGTAGGACTTATTACATTTTTTTTTGAAAAATCAACTTCTTTCGTAGATTCCGAATGTAATGCCCATTTGAAGCTAGGATCCACGGAGGGGGGGGGGGAGTAGTGTTGCAGACGTATTATTTTCAGTATTCCAATTAAAAAAATTTCATAAGCCCCTCTAAGTATTTGTCATTCGTGACTTCTCAAATACGCCGCGATCATTGATCAACAATAAAATAATATAATTATAAAATATCCTACTACGCATGTCTATTGTTGTTACAGTCAATCCGAATGCGACTCCCTAGACGAAAACGTCATCACCTGTGGTTGCGAGGACGCTCCATCCGAAGAACCAACTCCTCAGCCAAACGGACAACCGAGGAGCCAAAACGTGTACCAAACCCTTCCGGTTCCTCCTAACAAGAAAATGGAGACGACGGAATTATGATTAAGGGTTAAAGTAAACAATTTCTTTAAGATCAATAAGGTTTCTCCTTTAAATGATATCAACGGAGAGGAGGAGATATAAAAGTACGAGGGCCATTTTTAAAGTGAGAACAGATCGCGCATCGTGATGTCCGTTTAACCTCAGATACTCTTGGCCATTCTCTGACTACGCGGCCATTACGTTTCACGTCTCTACCGGTGGTGGTTGGCTTTTTAATCCCAAAAATATTCCTCCTGCTGAAATTCATGCGCAGCTTGTTGGATTAGAACCCACGGTGGGTCCTGCGTTCTAGCGGCGACGTTCTGCTTCACGACAACGCTTGGCCTCACGTTGCGGCAAGAATACAGACGCAACTAGACAAGTTTCGTTGGTAATTACCGGATCATCCACCATCAGACTTTCCTCTTTTTCCAAATAATAAGGAACAAAACAAAAAGCAAACACGGGGACGTGGTCTTTTGAAAAACTAACTAACTCAAGTAGATAGGACACATTTGCTTTTCGGGATGAAGATGAAAATCAGCTTGGCAAAACTATTGCTAGGTGGCGATCGATGAATTTTCATTTACTTGCGTACAATGTTTTGTGCGCACTGAAAGATTATTTAAGTCTTTGATATACATTACGAAAAGGAAGGGACCTAATGCTGATCCTTGTGAAAACAAATTGCTACCGATCTTTGAGAAATAATGATATCCAAGACGAAGCATTGCCTTATCCAGCCAAATTGTCCAACAAAATGCAGTGATCTACACAATTGGATGCCTTCATAAACAGTTCTCTGACTCCATCACACAACGGTTCTTACTTAAAAAATGGCTCGTATTTAATGTACGTTCTTTAAAGTCTCCTCATAGATGGTAAGAGTGTATAGGATATCTGGAAACATGGATGTCCACATGATTCCCCTTCTCTTCTGTTATTTAAAAGCTTAGATGTGACCTCTAGTTGATCCTACTATTGGAGGCTGCATAAGCAATGAGACCTTAATGAATGAGTGTATCGGAAACGGGTGAAATCAAGCAGACTGGACGTTCTGATGAGTCTCACTAGCCATTGCAGAGCGAACAGAATTTTTTCTCTTAAAACTGCAAAGAGGAAGAGACTATATTTACCTTTATCCTATGTCTTAGAAGAGAGACGAAACATTTCTCAAGGAAATATGCAGAGCGCAATCGCCTGAAATACTTGGTTTAGCGACGTTTGGTAGAAAATAAATCTTTGCCAGAAGCTGTGGAATATTTCGCAAAGTCCAAGTCCAAAATACAAAAGAGGGTTTCTGAGATTGAAAAAGAGGGGTGAAGGATAATTTTTGAAATGGAAGTATTTCCCTTTTTGAATATTTCAGGTATATTAACATTAATTGTCCAGTAGATATTAAAAATTCTTTGCATTATACATGTAATATTCCTTTTATTCAGGGGTCCGCAACCCCTGTAGCTTAGAGATATAAAGAGGGATATCATGAGCCAGAGAAGATTTTAATTTTAACGGTTTATAATGTAGTGCCAATGCTATTTTAACGAATATGTTAGATAAAATGTTATATTCACAAAACGCATTTATTTCGATAACACAGTGCAATAATTTATACCAAAATATACGTTAACATTATTTATTTTGTGATTAATTCTGAATGCCTTTCTGTGGACCATTTACGAAAAATAAAAGAGTTATGAAGATTAGGTACTAGTAGTTATATGAGGTCAATAAAAATAAAAAAAAATTAGATATAAGAATTTTGTTTGTCTTCTAATCTGGAGGCTTCAGCTTCAGATTTCCGATAAGTTTAGTTTTTGTACAGTATTTTAATTATTATAAAATGTTGAGTATCTATTTTAATTTGTCTTGAGTGTTTCTTTAATCATAAGGTTGATATACAAATTAAGAAATGGGGGCGATATTAAACCAGCTTGCTCTTGCATACAACCCTCTTCTGAGTACATTTGTAATAGATACCGAACTGTAAAAACATAAATTACTGTAGAATTTAAGACAAAATTTGTGGAAAAGCAAGCAAATTTAATTTGTATTTTTATCAAATTAATATGTGTGTTCATAGAATAACCAGTATGTAAAGCATTTCATTTGAAACATGTAAAAACCTTAACAACGAAATAAATTATATTTTGACGACGGTGTAAGGTGAATTTACAATATTCCTATATTATACGCCATACCAATTTATTTTCCTCTACATATTCAAAATCTGCAAGTCCTGAAATGCTGACCATCTAGCCCTGGTACCACTGGCTGTTACAGAACAACCTATTATATCTACATTTAGAGAACGCGAAAGCCTCCCATTCGTGGGAGGAATTCTCCAGTTCGATGTTTCTCATAATCACTGATGCTCCATATATATATATATATAAATATATATATATATATATATATCAATAATGAGGCAGATTTCAACTATTTTTATTTAAATCACAAACAAATGTTTTTTCGCCCCAAAAAGGGCCGTTTTAGGTTTTTGATATCATTCTGAAAAAAACTGAGAAAATGAGGTTAGAAAAAATTTGAATTGCAAGCATACATTTCTCATTTGTTGCTAAAGTAAATCGTGTAATATTCCGCGTAGGGCTCTAAAGTAAATCGTGTAATATTCCGCGTAGGGCCTAAAAGTAAAATAACTGCATATGGCATTCCGTTTTCATAAAGTTGTTAATCGCAGTTTTCAGGAGTTGAAATTTATAATAAGATGGGTGGAACATGGAAGGCCATGCTCCATGTAAAGCTAATTATTAAACAGTCGCAATAATTGCCAATTAGCAACTTATCTAATATCGATGGAAACTCATTAAAATTAGTTCGAAAATATTATCACAAATACATCCTTAATAGTTTAACGATAGCGTTCAGGTAATGTTCATTGAGTATTTTTTAGAAAAATGAATTATTGTTGCTATTAAGAGTTTTACATTACTTTAATCTGAATGCGGCATATGTGACCGAAATATGGTAGGTATTCACGCTCTGTATAATTTCGATTCAATATTGCATTAAGCTCGGGGTAACAAATTAAAAAAGCAGCACCAGGGTACACATCAAGCATCCATTATTCAACCACTTAATTTTAAGACCACAATCCACATTTTTGATTAACTAAAAATTTGACTTCGGCGAAAAATTCTGACAAAAATATCGACTTCCGCATGGCCAAAAACATTAACCTTTGGTCGCACCCTAGACACGAAAGCGAGAGCTCCACCCTGTATACGGAGATTACATGTCATCCTTTTATCGTTGATTCAACCTGTAACGGAGCGCCTAGGACATAAGAATATCAAAAGCTCGGAACGCAGTTCCACTGAATGTTTGCTCATAAAAATTGGACGCTTTCTACTATAACAATTTTCAATAATAATTAATAAAACAAGAAGGAAGACAGGGTTATCTCGAAAACAGTGACAATATATTTCTAGCGCATAAAGTAGATCAAAAAATAATACGAAAGGTTCATATAAACCCCAATGAAATGCACCCTTAACAAGATACAGGCGGTGCTGATGTTAAATTTTTGAGTTATATTGAGGTATTGAAATGAAATTTTGTACAAGTAGTATCCACAACAATACATGCAAACATTTTCAGTCAAGTTCAGAGGAGACCAGGCACATCTCAGAGGCGTATAAATTGGGAAATTTTGACAACCATTATACAGAAGAAATTAGAAAATTATTTCTAAGCCACGGACTTTTTTGAAACATCTTTTCCATTTTTAAGTAGGTTGTTCAATTTTACATGAGTTGCCCCTTTTAAGAAATTTTTATCAGGCTACTCCTTTTGGTGAAAAATTGATGGGTTGAATGTTTGAGGTATAAAAAAATTTAACCCAATCTACGTCTGAAATACACGGAAATTAAAGAAGTTATACATTGTTGTTTGACTGCTTGTAGAGTATTAGGAGAGTCATCCTATTTCACTATAGTGTTATTTAAGCAATATTCGTGTTTTGTCCTTATTCCGTCTCATCATTGCAGTGCTGTAAAATTATACAACTACCCGTATATTGGTAACAAAATATTTTATTAGGACCTATGTTTATAGGAAACATTTTTGTTATATTATTGCTTATTGTCGATTCATAGAGGTCCATCATGTAACCAAGGTAATCTAAGAGAAATTAAAAATATACTAAGTGACATATAAATCCGAACGCCCAGTTTAAATGGTTTTACTTTAATAAAATTTTGTATAAGTACTTAATGAAGCATAATAGGTAAATGATAAAAATTTCAAAATGATTGCACGGCTTTAAAGCCCTTTGACCTTTAATAATGTGTGGATGCACCCTGATGTGCTACGCATTCTCCAACGCGCCTAGGCATGCTTCTGATCAGGTGGTCAATGTCCTCCTGTGGTATCTCATTCCAGGCAACCACCAACTCCTCTCGAAGTGCTTCTAGAGTCTGAGGAGGACGTTGCAAATTGAGCAATCTCCTACCCATCATATCCCACACGTGCTCAATTGAAGATAAGTCGGGAGATCTTGGTGGCCATGGTAACAATGTGACATCATTATGTTGAAAGAAGTCTATTGTGACTTTTGCAACATGTGGTCGGGCATTATCTTGTTGGAAAGTTGGATCTGCCAGGGTGTCAAGATAGGGTAAAAGATGGGGTTCTAGAACTTCGTGGATATAACGCTGCGCGTTCATGTTACCTCTGATAGAGATTAAAGGTGACCTGGAACCATAAGCTATAGCACCCCAAACCATAACTCCAACAGTGTGATGAACATGACTTTCATAAAAAAACTGTGGATTCCTCCTTTCACCATGTCGCCTTCTAACCCTGGCACGACCATCGTGCATGCCTAAACAAAATCGAGACTCGTCACTAAAGACAGTACTGTTCCATTCCTGATCCCAGAGTGACCGTTGTCTGCACCACTCAAGGCGATTACGTCGGTGTTCTCGAGTTAAAGGGAGGACCCAGTGTGGCCGGTATGAAAACAAGCCAAAACTTCTCATTCGTCGGTAAACACTTCGCATGCCAATAGGTCTTCCGTGTTCTGTAAACCATTCATTTGCAATGGGCCTGGTAGTGGAGAAACGGTCCCTTAAGGCCAATAATCTTAGGCGGCGATCTTCACGGTCTGTTGTTCTACGGCGGCGTCCAGTGCCCCTTGCTCTTTGCGTACGGCCTTCTCGAAGCCATGCCTGACAACACCTAACCACAGTGTCTACACTTCTTTGCACTCTAACTGCAATTGCCCGAAAAGAAAGTCCAGCTTCCCAAAGTCCCACTATACGGCCCCTATCAAACTCACTAAGTTGACGAAATCGTACAGGTCTCCGTACTCTAGGCATCGTAACCGATCGTAAAGGATGTCAAGAACTAAAATCCGCCAACGTTGATTCTTTACTGCGGCTGAAATATTCATTTTTAGAGCGTTAGTGAATTAAAAAAAAGCAGTATAAAAACCGGAATGTCCAACTGATAAGGCTGATAATTTTTTCACTTGTTATTTACAGTAGGATAAATACATTCACCAACTTTTCTTAAAATAAAACCATTTAAACTGGGTGTTCGGATTTATATGTCACTTAGTATATGTATGGTATTAGAAAAAAAGGACGCATCATATTATCAAAGCCACAAAATACATAAGTCCATTGGAACTTTTTTCTTTAGTATGATGAGATGAGGTCTATTATAGATGGTATATGATAAACCTGAAAAATCCTATACATCAAAAAACGAATTTAAAAAAAGAAATAACATTTTTGACGATTTATGGTTTCTACAGCAAACGTTAGATTGTGGCACCACTTCTGGCTATAGATACTCACACATTTAGAAATGCTGTTTGATTTTTTGATATTTTTGACAACGTAAAGCTAAAGACAGAATAGATGTCCAAGATTTTTGTCAACATGAGGTGTAACCAAATTGTTTAAATGTTTGAAAATGAAATATCATGTTTTTGAAGTTGTTTGGATGTTTATGATTGAAATACCTACGTTTATTTTAAAGCATGTAAATGAAAAATTCTACAGTAAAATAGCATTTTTGACAATAAACACATATGGAAATAATTGGAAATCCAAATCAAAAACTCGTTAGCATAGGTAGAACGAAATTATGAAATCTTGATATCTGTGGTACTATATTAACTACGATGATTTCCAGTTAACAAAAATGAGTGCAAATGAGGATAAGTTGTAAAATATTACTCGTCTCTGCTGTAGGATCGTCCAACAAACAATTATAAACATAAATAGATATAGATAAACCAATACATTGATAGGACCAGTATTCCTCACAAATTTTTAATTTCGACTAAAGCTTGGGGCTTGGGAAGATGGGAAGTTTATCTAGACTGTTTGCTTTTGATTTACATAGGCCTAATAAACCATTTAATTTTCTAGCATCTACTGGAAGCAAGTTGTGTACAGCAAAAGTAGTTACAGAAGCATACTGTTTTGCGGTCTCATTCTATGATAATCAATGTTACTATCGTGAGATCATCAGCATAGTCACACCTATATTTTATTTCACGAGGCATTTATCTATTTTCAACTTTTATTCACAATCGTCTTTGTTCCAATTTTCCGACTTTACCTTTTATATCAAACTAATGGATCCACGTCCAACCGCAGACAGGGCTCTTTAGCCCTCCATCAGTACGATATAGGTCTGTATCAGGTCCAGACTTGGAGATGAGAGAATGAAAAGCAAAGACATGAGTGTCGTCTTAGCAAAACTGAGGACCGTAGTAGTTGAGTTCTCTTTTAAACTTTTTTATTTCACAGGCATGAGAGAAACAGACTGGTGCGACAGATCCCAATGCATAACGTGTAGAAGAGGAGCTGTGTTACTACAATTCAAAGAAATTCCTCGAAGTGTACTTACAGTTGCATAGCTTAATGACTTTTGAGAAGTCGTCCTACTCTGGAATAGACATCCAATCCTCAATGACATTTAGGAAATTGCTCCGCACGACTACATTCCATGCATGTCTGTGCTACATATGAAGAAAACTGAGGAAGGACATCACGGAAAAACCCTGTTCGGCTGGTCTCAAAAATTATCAACGAGAGAAATATACATTTCTATGATATTCACAAGCTATTCAAGATTATTTTATCCGTATTAAAATCGTTTTAGGCTTGGAGGCCTACCCTGAATTTGAATTTTGCCTAGCTCCCGCTATGACGTCATATCCGTTTGCGCATGAGAACTAGCATCGTGCATTTTGGGTTCGAGATTACAACGTGACCTTGGAGGGCGCTGGATTCTTGCGGATAAAATAGAAATCAACAACCAACTCAACTTGCCAATTTTATGAAGTTTACACCCCGTGTGCTTTGCTTCACGGAATAATCTCAAAACATTTTCATTTTTTTAACAAAAACGACACCCCGTTTACTTTTCCACACATTACTTTTGCAACACATTCATTCCACCATCGGGAGCAATAAGCATAGGTGAGTAAAAATTATTTTTAATAACAATAAAGCCAGGGTTTATACAACGCCGGTTCATCAGTGATGCAGTTACAAAATCGTGGCCTCCAAAATCTTGGGGATTTATTTTTGATATCAAGTCTTCATTCTCTTACGATTCCATAAATAGTTACATGCTAAACGGCAGGGGTTCACGAAATGTGGTGAACCACACGTTTTTTTAAATACCTGCTTGAGATACATTATTTCGTCATACTAAACTTATTCCGCATTGACGAGTTCTGGCAAATTTCTTTGTTCAAACTCCGTAGAAGGTAGTCTGTTCGAGAAAATATTAACGGAACCTATATTTTTGGGCGTAATGCATGCAAAATCTTGGTTACATTACTTGGTTAATTGTATTTGTTATTTTAGGTTAATAAATTATGGATAGGGCTAAACATAGTTCCTGAAAGTTTTGTGTACCAATAATCATATCTCTATGTTCGCAAATTATTACAAAATGAAATAATTCAAAGAATTATCATAGGTAGTTTTATGCTTGCGCTTTGGATTAGCAAATTTTTTGTGTGAAATTGAACAACTGCTACAATATTCCTAGTTGAAACACTTTTCTTTATATTGCCCAAAAACATGAAGAAAAAAGGAATGCAATTTGTTAAAAACAGCATGCAAGATGGCATAAGCTTCTTTGTATTGGAGTTACCTGGATTCAAAGAATCATTCTTCACAAAAATATTATATCAAGAAATGCATTATTATACTATTTTGCAAAATACCTGGTTTGAGCAGACTCAAAAAAGATATCTGGTCATTCGTAATGGATGGTTTCATATTGAATATGAATATGAATGTTTAACTTTTTAGGTGTCACATAACAGCTACAATTAGAATAGAACTAGATACATATTTCAATAGCTTTCTTTTTGTTTCAAATTTATAAGAGCTTATGTAATCCATAATCGTATATAGCATTTCTTAATAAATGCTCAATATTTCAATGGTTCCTTAGGTTTTTTAAAGGGAAAAGTTCATTCAGTCCTTAAGGCTCACAATATGAGGTGTTGTAAATTTCTACATTACTTATGAGGCTGGATAAGAGCAAACCATAAATTTTGTTCAAATAATACTATGGTGGAATAGACTATGTACATTTCCATTGTCTAACTTCACTTACACTTCTCTATATTTTCAATGTAGAATGGGTTGTGTTTTTATATAAATTTAACCTTAAATATTCAAACTAATTTTTCTCCATAATGAGTAGTTTCAGAAAAGTCAATGGTATAGAAAATCACCTTTGTCAAGGACAGAATTTCTCATTTATTATATTACTTGTCTTAGGTACAAAATTTTATTATATATTGGCTATGCAGCTAGTATTCCATTTATAACATTTTAAGTTAATACCTCATACATTCTGATTTTTTTTTCAGTTTTGAAATTATAACTTGTATCTCTCTGTATCTTAAAGGAACAAGAGATTTGTGGAAACATGTTTATATGAACTTCTTGCTTCTTTATCTAAGGATTTGTTCTGTGAAGTATTGAGACACTCATTAAAAAGCAGTCTGCATAAACGTCACACAATCAGTATTTACTTTGATCTAGTAATATTTAGAATGGAATGTGCTGTTTATTGACCATGTAGCCAAGATGTCAGTAATCATTGCTGTATATGGTTATCTAGGAATGCCCTGACACTTATGGAATGATCAGTAAATACTGATGGCACAGACAGTAAATAATGGATGTGTGACATTCACCTTAAAAAAAGAACTTTTCCACTTTTTTCACCCTTTTGTGTGCAAAAACTTTGAATTATGTTGTTGTAAACATTGCTTATATAGGTTTTAATGAGTAAGTAGGTAACAAATAAGCTGAATAGTATGTTGTACTGGTCCAGATTCAGTATTCTTGATTCTTGTGACTCTGGCTTGAACGAGATATGAATAATTCTGAAATTTGTAAGGAACAATTGCAAATAATCTTGGAGATGATACATGATAATCATATTTGGAATAATGTATAAACAGCAAAACTTTATATTGTAAGCTTTAACTAAATGAAGCATATATAGGTGAGCATGTATCATACTTAATATAACAAAATTCATAAGACTGTTAAGAAACACCTCTTGAATAAAGATAAGGGGACAAGGAACTATTAGAGATAATGATATGAATTTATGGTATTTTTAAAGATGTGCAATGATCCCTTTATTTTGGCTTATTTACTTGATTGTTCTAACTTGTGTATATTATAATCATATTCAGAATAATGTATAAACAGCAAAACTTTACATTGTAACCAAATGAACCATATTTACTGGTGAATATGAATCATACTTAATAATAAAATTCATGATGGTTAAGTAGAAACACTGAAATAAAGATAAGGGACAAATAACTATTAGAGATCATGATATGAATACCTGGTATTTTTAAAATGTGTCAGGATCCCTTTATTCTGTCTCATTTACTTGATTATTTATTTTAACTTATATGTATGAATGAATAGTTGATCACAGATCATGCACATGGGTAATTCTACAGTTTCAGATCTTGTTTCTTTCAATAATTTTTGTAAACTAAATATCATTGTTCATACTCTGCATTCAAACTTCATTTAGTTACTTATTTAATCTGAACATACATAGGTTCATACAGGCCCCAAATCACAAAATGTGGTGAATGACTACTACAATTTCAAATAATGTTGATGTAGTATTAATACTCACTTGTTTGTGATCTTTTGAAACTGATCACTGGCAAACACTTTGTCACCAGATATTAGTGTCAAACAACTGCAGAAATAGGAATGCTATAATGAGCGTAATGTCAGTTTAGACATTTTATGTTTTGGGGGATGACATTAATTTGTATAATGTATATTTGAGGGCATTCAGTTGTACTTACTATAGTGTTATTAACTTGTATAAATGTATATTGTGTACTAACATTGGTAGATGTATTATATTTTTGTAAACAGTGGGAAGCCATTGAATGAATAAACTATCTGGTCTAATTTTAATTGACTTTATTATTTATTCTCTTTGTTATTTGCAATAACTTCTGAGGTAGGTGTGCTCTTCATCTTGCAACAAATGAGCATTTTTATTATCCTCTGAAATATGACTGTTGGATCATACATTTCTAGAGAATATGTTTCAGAAGTTGAATTTGCAAGTTAACATTTCGAAACAATTATTCTGGACCGTGGAAGTTATGGAAACTATATTCGTTTGTGTCAAATGTGACATAGAATCATGACCTCCAAGATTGTACACTATAAGATTTCATTTCATTTTGTGTACTGATACAGAATCAGACTTTCTTCCAAAACTGTTGTAGACTTTGAGAAATCATTATGTCACTAATTTAATGGTTTTGAAAGTAATTCTTAACACATACCTACAATATTCATACTTCTTTCAGATTGCAGGTCATTGTTTGTCTGGACATATATCCATTAAAGGAAAACTACAGGAATGGTAATGGAGGCTCCCCCATCTCCTCAGAGTGTAGGCAGGGAATTTGTTAGACAGTACTACACGCTGTTGAACAAAGCCCCTACCCATCTGCACAGGTATGTTTTATTACAGCACCACAATAATTTGTATGTAATTAAGCATTTAATTGTTTTTAAACCAAATATTTTCATTCAGATCTGAGCAAGCCAGTGATGTCTGATCTGAATTTCAAAATGATAATCTCTTTTGTTCTTCTCAAATACTACATTGCCTTAAGCAATTCATAATTGTAGACTTAACTAGCCCCATTTGCTTCTACCTTTCCAGATTACCCCGAATTTCAGTGTTAGGCGAATGTCACATGAACAATATTTACTTTGATATATCAGAATTAATCAATGATATTTATTATTATTGATATCCCCTGATATTTATTGACCATGTACCCTGGATGTTTTAATTATTGATGATCAGGAATTGATCTTCAATGTTTCTCAGTTTTTGTTCATTGTTTTACCTGACACCAAGCCTAAACCATATGGATGAGTTGCCAAATAGCACGAAACATCTGTCCATGGAACAAGGTTTCATAGAAGTCTACTGTGACATGGATTCATCAGTAACTACTGTCCCATATGATCACCATAAATACTGATTGTGCGACATTCACGATATGAATTATTAGTGTTTCTCTAAAGGTGTGCTGTGTTGTTTTATTTTTCATTTTTTGGTTTTGAACACAAATTGTAAGTTGATTTGAGAAAACTTATCTTAGGTGGGTAGCAGGTAGAAGATCTGGTTTAATTCCTATTCATGATGAATAATTCGGTTGAATATTCACATTTGATTAACTGATATTCCGAAAAATACTGTTATTATATTTTGATGCAGATTCTACAACCACCAGTCATCCTTCATCCATGGTGGTTTGGACCTTCATAACCGTGAAACAAGCCCCGTTATCGGCCAGAAACAGATCCATCAAAAAATCCAGCAACTGAACTTCCGGGATTGTCATGCTAAGATCACCCAGGTGGACTCGCAGGTAATTTTTTTGTATGTCTATCTAAAAGGTAAAGTCTAGAATCCATGCTATACATATTTGTAGTACATGCATTTGATAGAGATTGCAGAATGTGTTTTTAAAATAAGCATGACTTTGTGATTGAAATTATGACATAGATACAAATAATCACTGGTGTGAGTGGTTTTTATCTCATACTAAATAGATTGCTCATATTGTCTCTTAATGTTATCTTTGTATCAGATAAAATACATTTATTTCTTCCAGTATCATAGCAAAAGCAAATAATATCTAGCTGATATATAATTAAATGGCTATTTATTTTGAAATAAACATATTTGTATCTACTATATCTTAACTATATTATCAGCATAGTCATTACCAAATAATCCTTTTGGGGTTGAGATCCAGAGGCAAACATCTTAAAATGTTTCAAAACAACTTTCTTAAGTTGTGAATTGTATTTCTATTGATTATTGAATGTCTTACGTACTATATGAAATTCCAAAATGTCCCGATTTATTGGGAATTTTGTTTCGGCAATCATGAATAGTTTCGAAAAAAATATTTGCAGGTACACAATTATAAGTCCTCTTTTTTAATCATCTTAGGAGCTACCATTTACCCTTATTCGCCACATATATACCTTTATTTTCGAAAGTTTTTTATACTACATAGCAAAATGTTTATAATTGCCAAGTGTCAGTGTGATGGGTTTGCCGAAAAACACCTTTACATTGAAAATGAATTGAGCTCATCGCCAAATTTCGTTTGTATAAACATGAATTTGACGACAATAAATCATGGACTTCTGAGTGGGTTTCTTGACACATTAGGACCTGTCCTAATTTTTGAACATCAAATTCCATGGTGCTGGCCAACCTTGTTCTCCTTTCCATTAGTGTTCAACATCTTTTCAATTCGAGCAAAGACTTTTGATATATAGGAGGGACTATAGGGTCACCCAGGAAAACGTCGATGCTGTGCGCAAACTCATCATTGAAGATAGACATGTGACATATCGCGAGATTGAGGCGCCCTTGAAGATCTCAAAGACCTCAATTCAAAAAATTTTACATGAAGAATTAGGAGTAAGAAAATTAGTTTCTCATTGGATACCCCACCTGTTGACTGAAGAGCAGAAAGAAGCCAGGGTTAATTGGTGTCAAAAAACGCTTGACCGTTTTAATTCCGGAAACTCAAAAAATGTGTACAGCATTGTTAGTGGTGATGAATCGTGGATTTACTGTTATGAACCAGAATATAAACGACAGTCGGCTGTTTGGGTGTTCCAAGGTGAAGAAAAGCCAACAAAAGTCATCCGTTCTCGAAGTGTTTCGAAAAAGATGGTCGCGACATTTGTGTCAAAAGCTGGTCTTATTGCAACTATTCCTCTTAATGAGCAAAGAACTGTTACTGCGGATTGGTATACCACCATTTGTTTTCCAAAAGTCATCACCGAGCGTCGAAAATCAACCCTTAAAGAAGAATCATCCTCCACCAAGACAATGCAAGCTCGCACACAGCCCAAAAAACAAGGTGGTATTTAACGGAAGAAAACGTGTAATTATTGGACCATCGTCCATATAGTCCCGATCTAAGTCTAACGATTTCTTTACTTTCCCGAAAATTAAAAACAGACTGCATGGTCAAAGGTTCCAGTCACCAGAAGAAGCAGTTTGAAGAGGTTCGGCAACAGCGCGACCGTGTGTGAGTGCGTGTCGAGTGCAAAATGCGACGGAAGGCAGGTAGTAAGACCCTGAGGACGGGTTGCGAGGGGAGACGGGCATGAGCATCGGCAGAAAGAGGACGTATATCGTTGCTCCACCCGACGGACGTTCGAACATTGTTATTGCTATTCTATTTTTTATTTCGAATTGTATAGTGTGGGTTATAAATGGGCCTCTATTTTAATAAATAAAGTGATATGGTGTTACGTCTTCGTCCCATTAACCTGAGAGAGCTAGCTCGGGAACTATTTCAAGTTGACGCACTCAAAATGCCGTTTTGGATCTGCAAGCAAGCGAGTGGAATAAGTGCTTCGAAAATTGGTTCGAGCACATGCAGATGTGTATTAATCTTCGTGGAGAATACGAAAAACAATAAAATCATTTAAAACTACCTATCGTATTGTTTTATTTCCATATGCAAAACTTAAAAGACATCCCTCGTATTTACCGAATCATCTCTACTTTATACGACTTGAAACACCATATGATTTTTTTAAAGGGCACTGGAACAGGCATATTTGAATTATGTTACACTGATAACGGATAATTAACCAGAAACACGAGTCTATATTAGTTTTAGATGTAATATCACAGCTACTGGAAAGGACAACACAGTCCGTTCTATTGACTTATCTTGTTATCAATATATCCCAGATGAACTAGAATTTTTAGATAACGTTTTTCTATGTGTACTTCGTATATTTTATCGTCAAAATTCCCAGTCACCAGAAGTATCTGGATTTGAACAACAGCTCTGAATACGGCCCCAAGTTTTACTAGATTCACACCCGATTCGTTCTTGTCAATGTTACAGACTAATACAAATATGTCACTTGCTGATCAGCTGTTTACACATCAGTAGAACGTCAAAACGTAACGGATACTCGTCAAATAGAATATACCTACCAATCTCCATTGTCATTTCACATAACTTCACTTTTGTCAGGTTGCCAGTTGCCGCACAATTTTTGCATGTCATCTTTCATATGCTGTCATGCGGCTTCAAAGAGGGCCAACACTCTTTACCCTTTGAGTCTACACGGAAAACCACTGACGTCGTAATGTGTACGAGAGAGAAGCATGCATTACGTGTGTTAGAAAGAGAGCGTTTCGTTGCCTATACTATAACTATCTAAAACTGTAATGACTCATCGATGTTCACGTGAACATCACTTAACTACCAGTAGTCGGCTGTTCATAGGCGGGGTATGAATGTTTAACATGGGTGAACTAGATTTGTCACATGCTTAATAAAGAGTGGTTTGAAACATATTGTAAGTCAAAAATTTGGGAATTACCTTTATTCATCGTCGCTTCCACTTACATCTGACAGTAATAAACTGTCGCTATCGCTTTCCTCGTTGAAATTGACTATAACTGGCTCTATGATGGTGTCGATGTGGTGGTCAAGCTGCCACATTTTTGTTTCTTCCTTCACAACATGACGGATAGCATTCTGCCAAGCTTTGGGCGTTACTAGCTGTATGGAAGTCTCAAGTAAAACCTTAACGTCTGGTAATTTGAAGGTTGTGTTATGGCGCGCAATATAACCCTTCACTTGAGCCCAGATGAGCTCTATTGGGTTCAGTTCACAGTGGTAGAGCGGTAACCGCAGCACAGTGACACCACATTGAGGGGCCATCTCATCAGTCACGTAACTAATGTTCGCAGGTTTGTGCTGTTTAATTTTTTCATACAATTCCGCTTTCACACATGAATCGTCAAACGGGATTCCTTTCTCGCGCAACCATTGTAATCACCTCCTTTCTTAGAGACGAAAATCAAGTCACACTCTTCTAAAAAGCCACTATCGCTACCAATATGAGTTACGATCAATCTTTGACCTTTCCCTGACGGTCCACGAAGACCTGTTGACAAACCTTCAATGCTTGCTTGTCGGTTACTCACTACGTTTTTGTCTATCCAGGTTTTTTTAACTGTGTGACCTGCATTTAACCATGTCTCGTCCAAATAATAGATTTTTCTGCTTTGTCGCCTATATTCAATCATTTCGCGTAGGTATTTTCGACGCCAGGCGACTATTTCAGGTCTCTCTATCAATACTGACTTCCGATTACGCGTTTCGTAACGAAAATTAATTTCGTGCAGGGATTTCCTCATTACCTCGAGACTCATTTGGGGTATAATTTCATTTTCCTTGATCGCTGCATGTACAGCCTTGAGGGTTGGTATCTCATTCCTGCGAATGGTCCACTCTGGAACGCCTGTCATACTTTCACAACGCGCGAGTGCATCTCCCTGCGACATAGTTCTGTTCAGATAATTGAACACGTTGAGCACGATTTCTTTCGCGTCCCTCTTCAGTGCTTTACGAAGCCGTCTACTTGTTCCCTGGCTTTCAGTACTTCCACTCGTGCCATTTGTACTCTCCATGGTTAAGTATAACCAAAACAGTAACCACAGAAACCACAACAATAACAATCACACAACAATTCTTATAAAAACACACGATATGCGATCGCTCAACGAAACACGTTCCAATGCGTTGCCGACGCCTATGAGTCTGCCGGTCGAGGCGCGTCTTTGATTTCATTGGTTCTACCGGCGGAGAACAATCAGCCATTATTTCCATCTCTGTCTGTGCTGTTGACCACCTCAAAGCCACAGAAACGACATATGTCGTACGCTATACGGCTGTACTGGAAGGAAGCCGGGATCGAGCTCTGATCACGTGTTGATCACGCGTATGAGTCATTACAGTTTTAAATAGGTGTAGTATAGCAACCCGAGTATGAGGTCACGGATGCCATAGGCGCACTTGTAATATTCATATTCTCGCGCTTCTCTCGTACTCATTACCACGTCAGCCAACTTTGAACCTCACAGTATATGAAAATGATTGTGTGGTCATGATTGATTCTTCTTCCTCAGGCCACCCTGGGCAACGGAGTGGTTGTCCAAGTGACCGGCGAACTATCCAATGCTGGCCAGCCGATGCGTCGCTTCACTCAAACGTTCGTTTTGGCAGCACAATCGCCGAAGAAATATTACGTTCACAACGATATCTTCCGTTACCAGGACGAGATCATCTCCGACGAGGAGTGCGACGCTGATCAACGTTCTGACGTAGACGAGGATATTGGCCAGGACAGGTAAGAGCGAATTTTATAGCCAACTTGTTACCCGAGACTTTTGTGACTAACATATAACATTGCTATAATTGCGTAGCATTTGTAAATCGACAGTCTACTTGTACGCTTAGGAAATTTGGTTATTTTATTAATGCTGCGGGGTTAAAACGGCGGGCCGGGAAGCTAACAAATTAATAAATAATATATTTTTTTTGAAATTAGCATTTCATATTAAACTAAATTTTCCGTTGTGAAAGCTACCTCTCCGCCAAATTTCCGGTTACACAATCTGTTCTTGGTGTACTTTAAGCAGAACCGCGTCCTTGCCCATTTTTAGATCGGAAACCCCAAGCAGTTTGAAACAAACTTGCAAGAGCCGAAAATAGTGAAACAGAGGATCTACTGACCGCACCACTGATTTTAAGATCTCAAATGCTTATGCTGCAATAAAAATATTTCCAAAGATAACACGTGTTTGCCAAATTCTCTTTTGGGGGTATTAGCCTCACCAAAGAAAAGTTCATCTATTTTTGATACCCGGTTCGTTATTATAACTGTAACCGTCATTTCGTTAACGTTACAGACAGGTGATCAACGACGTCCAACAGTCGTTGTCCACTCAACCCACTGCTGCGGCCGGCGCTGGCGGCATTCCGCCATACTATCCCGCTGCTGGCGGCGGCGCCCCGATGCCGCCCACGATGCCCCAAGTGCCGATGCACCACAACCAGCAGCCTCCGGTGCCGAATGCAGCTCAGCAACACGTGCTCAGCAGCCCACCCCAGCAGGTGGCTACTGTCAACGGAGCTATACATCCGGATGATATTAGCGTCATTCCAGGTAAGTGTCAAATATACAGTTCTTAACAAATTTGTAGGTCTTACGGTTTTTCGCGGGTCACAGTTGAACTACCGGCATCACCTTCATACATCCGCTGCCTATTGGAGTTCAGCAAATTATACAAAGACATAAAACGACAAAATAGCCCAAAAAATTAAATCAAAGAGAAACTCAATGTCAGAATTGCATATATGACGATGCGTATGAATATACTGTGTATACGAGGGCGGTTCAATAAGTACCCATGTTACAAATGAAGACACCATTTTTTCCAAAAAAAAATTCATTTTAGTTTTCAACATAATCCCCTTTTAGAAAGATACACTTTTCCCAAAGTCCCTGCCACTTTTTAACCCCCCAAAAAATAGGATTTGTCGAACTCTCCAAAATACGCCTCTGTCTCGGCGATGACATCCTCGTTTGAGCTAATTTTTTCCCCGCGAGCCATTTCTTCATCTCCGAGAACAAGAAAAAGTCGCAGGGAGCCAGATCGGGTGAATACGGCAGCACTTCATAACGCAATTCATGCCGTTTAGCGGCGACAATCCGGATGAATGTGCTGGTGCGTTATCGTGGTGAAACAGCACCTTCTTTTTCGTCAAATGTGGGCGTGTCTCCTTCATTTTTTTGTCGGAGCGGTCCAATAACTCACTCTAGTAGTCCAGTGATTATTTTTCCTTTTTCTAAAAATCCACGAGGATGACGCCGTTCGCATTCCAAAAAATCATCGCCATGACCTTTCCGGCCGATGGGACCGTCTTCGTCTTCTTTGGGGTAGATTCACCGTGAGAAATCCACTGTTTTGATTGTTGCTTAGTTTCTGGTGTGTAATGATGAATCCAGATTTAATTGACGGTGACAAATTGACGCAAAAACTCCTTCGGATTTCGCTAAAACTGCTACAAACACTGCCTCGAAGTTAACAGCCGCATCCGCTTGTTGACTACCGTGAGCAATCACGGCACCCATCGGACCAACAATTTTTTAGTCAACTTATCATGTTCAGGTCGACACACCTACGGCCTCTGCTACTTTGCGCGCTTTCGTTCGTCGATCAGCGAGAATCATGTCTTGGACTTTTTGAATGATTTCCTCGGTAACCACGTCTGCCGGGCGTCCTCGTCGATCCTCATCAAAAACGGATGTTCGCTCACGTTTAAATTCGTTGAACCAATATCTAACTGTGGTCTAAGATGGCGAAGTGCCCCCATAAACAACATGCAACTTTGCTTTTATCTTCTCGCATTTTCCCATCCAAAAACAAAAAGCGAATTACCGAACGATACTGCGCTTTTTCCATCTTAGCGAAAATCACGAAACACGTGTTACTCGAATGGCTCCCAAATCCAAACGAACCTATCAATCAGTCTAAAATTCGTTGTGTCGTCGTCTGATAGATGGCAGCACACGATGATAACATTAACTTCCCTCAGGAACGCCCTCTGTCGTCAAACACGGGTATAACTTCCCTCAGGAACGCCCTCTGTCGTCAAACACGGGTACTTATTGAACCGCCCCCGAGAGAAATAAAAATCATTTATTTGATCAGGTCAAGTGCCGAATCACGTGCCCCCGACCGCCCAATCCCAGACCATGGGCGGCGCAGTGCCGTCGGCCATGCAACAGCCGCCCCAACAGCAACAGCCTGCCAACGCGATGTTGCAACAGCAGGCTGTTGCCGCCCCCATCAACGACCACCAGCAGTTGCAGCAACCAACTGAGGAGGCTGCAGAAGAGAAACAGATTGACGATTGGGATACTTTGGTCCAGCCACAACAGCAGTCACAACAACAGCAGCAACAGCCGCAGGACAATGGACACCACGAACCGGAACAGCCACAGGAATCAGGTAAGCTTTTTTCTCAAACTAGACTAAACCCGCAGGCTCCTTCCGCATGGATGTAGTGTAAGGTGTAGGTCCTTAGTGTCAAGGATATGGTTTTTAGAGAAAGAAATGCAATATCCAGAGTAATGCATTTTCACTTTTGGCAATAAACATCCCTCATTTTAACGCAACAATAAATTAATTTAATTTTTACATCCTCGACAAAAAGTAAGGAGTTTACTTGAAAATGTCTCTGGTCTTTAAGTGACCCCGAAAATCATATTTGATCTTCAAATGACTTTGATAATCATACAACGGTACTTGAAGGTCACCGTTAAGATCACAAGGTCACCGTTAGATGAACCTCTTGTAACAACTTCATTTCACATTTTTCTTTAAAAACGTATTTTTTGAGATATCTGTCCTTTCCCTACTTTCTGGACACCCTCAAATACCCATAGTCAAGGTCATTGGGAGGACGTACAGGGTTTGTCCGGAAAGTAATAGGACTGAGTCGATTTAAAAAAATTTATTGAGCCAATCGTTACAATTCTTTAAAAACTTTCAAAATAGGCTCCTTCAGCGTCGATGCAGCGCTGCCGGCGTGATTTCCAAGCATTGAAGGCGTCACGGAAGGCATTCTCCGGAATAGCCTTGAGAGCCGCGGTGCATGCTGCTTGGATCCCCTCTGTCGTCTCAAAATGCTTGCCTTTCATCGGCCTTTTCAGGCGAGGAAACAAAAAAGTCCGGGGGGGGGCACATCTGGGCTGTAGGGCTTGGTCAGGTAGCTGTTCACAAGAAAGGCTATGTGAGCCGGGGCGTTGTCGTGGTGCAACTTCCAGTCGGCTGCGATGTCTTGACTGACCCTTCGTTTGAGTATCCTGAGCAGTTCCACGTAAAACTTGGCGTTGACGGTTTGTCCAGGAGGAACAAATTCATGGTGGACGATGCCTTTGATGTCAAAAAAGACAATGAGCATCGTTTTCACTTTGGATTTGCTCATTCTTCCCTTTTTTGGCCGAGGAGACGCCGTCGTGTGCCACTCGAAAGATTGCCCCTTTGTCTCGGGAGACTAAAATTTTGTTTGTTCAAGATTTATCCAGCATGATTGCTACAATTACATTCTTTTAAAAAACAATTACATACAAATATTCAGAAAAACAAAACTTGCATATCTAATAATTTTCACTGTCCATTAAACGCTCCTTTAGCTTTCTTTTCAACATACTTAAATTACAAGTTAATGAATTTAGTTTATTAAATTCAAGTAATCCGTTCTGAAATATTGATTTGCTAGTTACAAAGGGTGCCTCAATAAGAGCGCCGGGTGTGATTTTTAAGAAAAAGGCAATTGTTTTTCGAATTAAGCGAGTATTTCAACATGAAGAGGAATAGTTGTGATTAAACATGAAATAGGACATCCGGTAAATGGCCATCACCAAACCTCTGACACAGTCAGTCTTTTCTTAAAATTCTGGATATCGTTTTGCGTACAACTATGGCTCTATTTCGTCAATAAACGCGCCGTATCTCTTCTTTATGGCGTTCAACTGTTTGTAGTTTGTTCGCATATACCTTTTCCTTCACATAGCCACAGAGGAAGAAGTTCATAGGCGTTAGATCGCACGATCTTGGTGGCCAATTTTGAGCGTCAAACCGAGAGATGACACGGTCTGGAAACTTGTACCGCAGTAACCCCACTGTTTCGCGTGCTGTGTGGCAGGTCGCACCGTCTTGTTGGAAGAACATATCCTCCATATCAATTCGATCCAACTAGGGCCACAAAAACTCGGTTAACATTTTGCGACACTGCACACCATTAACAGTTACCGCAGTTCCAGCTGCATTTTCGAAGAAATACGGTCCAATCACTCCGCCACAGAATTCGCACCAAACGGTAACTCGCGGTGGATGCATTGGTTGTTCGATTATTACACGAGGGTTTTCAGAACCCCAAATTCGGCAGTTCTGCTTATTGACGTACCCATTCAGTTGAACATGTGCCTCATCAGAGAAAATGATTTTCTTCGAGAAATCCGCATCAATTTGGTAGTGCTCCAGCGACCAATCAACGAACTCACGGCGCTGCGCATGGCCCGTTGGCCTGAGTTCTTGCGTTACTTGAACCTTGTACGCATGCAAGCACAGATCTTTTGTTAAAATTCGTTGCAGAGTGGGTCTGGTAAGGTTCAGTTCTTGGCCACGATGCCGAATGGAAGTGCCTGGATTCTCGGCCACACTTTCCCGCACTGCGACTATATTTTCGAGGGACCGACCAAGACGGCGACGAACAGTGGTCTTCACATTCAGCAACGTGAATTTTGTCTGAAATTTTGTAATTAAACGGCGAACTGTCGACTCATTTGTCGTATTATTGCGACCGAAAATTGTATGTAATTTGTAAACTGTTTCCGCGTAATTTTCTCCATTAGTTATTAATTAAACGTTCGTTTGAATACTGCTCCATGACGTCTAATCGCGTGGTCTGGACATGACGGCTGTCATCAAGTAAACACATACCATTTGTACAAAAAAATGACGACAAATTTAAATCCGGTGCTCTTGTTGAGACACCCTTTATTACTATTGCAGTTTTGTAAATGGAAATCTATATTTGAAATTAAAAAATAATTTAACACCACCACATATACAAAACTTCACAAAATTAAACAGGTAGAATACCCATAATGCATAGTGATGTAATTTTAATAGACAATAATGTAAAATTACAGAACATTGATTCAAAAAGTGTGTAAAAGTTAATTATGCAAAACTGACATTGTAGCATTAATGCTAAATATATCTTCAACACACAAAATGCAGGGTCATTTCATCTTCAAAATTTTAATAGTAGTATATTTCGCAAATCTGTATTCCAAATAAAAAAAACTGATACAAACAAATGTGTTAAAGAATATTATACAAAATTTATATATTGTAGCATTAATGCTAAATAAATCTTCAACAATCAAACAAACCCATTCTGTTTTGTTATTATTGTTGTATTATGGAGTACGTGACTTACTACTACTAAATTCATCACTGCAATTGGCCTCAAGATGTGTTTTACTAAATATGAATTCATTTCATCTGGGCATCATAATAATATATTATTTTTTTTTTGTTTGTTTCAGCACCGAACGAGCCTAAAACATACGCGAACCTCCTGAAATCCGGCAACACCGGCAGCACGATGAATTTCAACAACGCCGCCCAGAACAGCGTCGCGGCCGCTCAACCCCAGCCGTACGGCAACGCCCGCGCCGTTTCGCCCGTTGCGATGGGCGGTGCGGGCAGACCGATGGGCGGTCCGAGGGCGGACGGGCCACCGGGACAGACTGGCGGGCAGCAGAGGCCGCCCAGGCAGGATTCGATCAGGGGATCGCAGGGCGGTATGAGGGGGTCTGTTGGCAATGATGATGGATTCGGTGAGTGCGGAAATGATCGTTTTGCTTCAGTTTTCATAAGAAAAAAAAACGTTTTGTTTCAGTTTTCATAAGGAAAACAACCGTTTTACCTCGGTTCCTAGGAGCTGTGTGAATTTCCCGAATTTTATGGAAAAAAAGGAAAAGCATGTGGTGCGAGTTAGTCGAGATTAGGGACAGATTTTTTTCAAAAGACCGAGTACCGGGTATTCGGTGTAGTAATTTGCTGTGGGTTATATCATCTATAGTTAGTGATATTGAGATTATATTTGCGTTTCTGAAAGGTCCCCTTATTCCCAGAAATGATCCAGTTTTCCAAGAAACTAACGCACCACAGTTGTGTATTTACAGTATTATCAAAAGTGTTGATTTTTTAACTATATAAACAATCTTGCAACAGCTTGACGTATGTTTTTTAACACGCTTTTATTAGCTTGACCTGGATGTATGTATGCGTGTATGCATGTATTTAACAGAATTTTTCAATCAAGTTTGAAATTTGAAAAAAATGGATTTGAAAATTTGGAAAGTAATTGGAAAATTCGGAAGTATGGAAAATTCGGAAGTGTGGAAAGTAATTGGAAAATTTGGACGTTTGGAAAATAATTTTAAGAATTTTTGAAAATTTGGAAATATGAAAAAATTGGAAGTAAATTCAGATTTATTATCAAATATAAAATATACCAAAAAGCCTTTGATTACAAGTAGTCGTTTGAATTTCAGAATTTGGACAATGATTGGAAAATTCGGAAGTTGAAAAGTTGAAGAATTGAAAAACTTGAAAAACATGAAAAAAATAAAAAAAAATCTTTTTTATTGTAAAAGTTTAGCCGCAACGGTTCTTTAGTACAATTACTTTGACCATATATTTTATGTATTTATAAAAAATAGAAAAAACATAATTTATACAAAAAATGGTGTGATATCCATCTGTAGTTAGTCATATTGAGATTATAATGGGTGATTCAAATTGAGTTTAAACATTACAAATACATTTTTTTTAAACGCCTCTGAATTTGTCAACGACAACGTGCCATTTCCAACGTCAAAATATAAACAAAACAGTCGTGAAGCAATATACGAACAAACAACGTGTTAAAATTAACCAAGCCTATAATGAAAACGGCCAATCAAGGAAGCATACATTTCGTGCTTTACATTAATTTTTTGGTGCACAAAATCTGCGTTGTGAGAGGACAGTTTGGAATTTGGTGCAAAAATTCGAGCAAACTGGATTCGTCGTTAACACCAAAACCTCTAGGCCTCTAGGTCGATCGGAACAATATTGCTATAAGTTGCCGAAAGTGTGGCCGAAAATCCAAGAACCTCGATTCGTCATCGATCGCAGCAACTGAACCTTACTTATTCCACTACACAGCAGATTTTAACAAAATATTTGAAATTACACCCATGCAGAATCCAAATAACATAGGAGTTGAAGCCTAGGTCACACATCAGGGGAAACGATACAATTACTGCGCGGCAAGTTTCCAGGTCGTGTTATTTCACGTAACTGTGATTTAACTCTCTTAGATTATTTTCTTTGGGGGTATTTCAAGAGCAAAGTCTACAAGAATAACCCGAACACAATTGCGGAGCTGTAAAAGGAGTTCAGTCGCGGAATTACCAACATAGGACCTGATTTGTGCCACGGAGTAGTCGAACGGTTTACGTCATGCCACATGAGCCGCGGCGGTCATTTACTTGATATCATCTTTCAAGCATTATTGTAATGAACTGCCCTGAAAGGACAAATACATACTTTTTTATAATTATCATTTTCTTCCTTTTTTTCAAATACTTTTAATGCGGACATCCAATTTGAATCACCCTATATTTCCGTTTCTGAAAGGTCCCCTTATTCTCAAAATTGATCCACTTTTTCCAAGCAACTAACGCACCACAGTTGTGCATTTTAAATAATTCTGCGTGAGTTAACCGTCGCAGGTTAGTGTTTTTACAGTATTATCAAAAGAGTTGATTTTTTAAGGATATAAACAATCTTGCAACAGCTAAACGTAAGTTTTTTAACATGCTTTTATTAGCTTGACCTGGATGTGCGTGTATGGATGTAACATATGTAACAGAATCTTTCAATCTAATTTTCACTAATTCTAAGCAGTCTGATTAACTTGAATATTCGCACAGGGGTCAAGGGCCGATGACAATACAATAATCTTTAAAAAAAAAATCTAATCTGAAAATTTTTAAAAAAATTGAATTTTGAAATTTGAAAAAAAAATAGTTTTGAAAATTTGGAAAGTAATTGGAAAATTCTGAAGTTTGTAAAATAATTTGGAGAATTGGAAGTTTGGATAAATTTTAGAAATTTTCGAAATTTAGATTTATTTTCAAATATAAAATATACCGAAAATCAATTGTCTTGATTACAAGTAGTTCTGCCGTTTGAATTTCAAAATTTGAAAAAAATTGGATTTGAAAATTTGGAAAATAATTGTAAGAATTGGAAAACTTGGAAAAAAAATTAAACGCGAAATTTGAAAAAAATTGGAACTAGGTTTAGAGTTATTGTCAAATACAAAATACAAAAAATCAAAGCTCTTGATTATTAGTACTTTTGTCGTTTTGAGACTAAAAATTCAGAAAATAAACTATAGTTGTAGTATGAATTGAAATTTCAGCATTAATACTAAATAAACCTTCAACAAACAAATAAAATGCAGGATGCGAGATAAATAAAATAACATTAAATTTATCTAAAATCCTTTGCTTAACAAACCAACGAACATTTGTTGCATGACATCTGTTTGATTTCGTTGGTATAGGTATCTTTTATTGACCTCTCCAATATCTCTAGTATAAGACTATATACGAGCCCCTTCCCACTTCAGTTGGCCCAACTATTGAAATCTTAGTTTTTTTCTCATCAAACACAAACAATAAAAATGTAGCAGGGTGTTATAGGTTTAAAATATTAACAATGAATATTTTGATAATATATAGTCGAAAACACCAACTTTATCACTCCCTAATCAAATTTGCAGCATAAAAATAACACATGTTGCAATTACAGCATATCAACCTATTTTCATTTCAATGCAAAATAAGTCTATAACTCATAGGTGGCTGTGAGGAATAAAAGCTATGACAATTGTTTTTATTAATCACTGCTGTCAGAATACGTGTAAAATAGTTTTGGGTAGTTAAGGTTTTCAAAATGGGTAGAGGAAAGGTTATTAGTGAGAAAATTCGGTTACTGATAATTAAATTTTTTAATTCTGGGAAATCAAACTCAGAAATTGCAACTTTGTTAGACTTATCGCGGTACAGTGTGAGAAATATTGTTAGAAGATATAACGTAACTGGTTCAATTAATATTAAGCCACGATATGTGAAAAAAGTAATATCACAAATGCCGACCGAAGAGCATCAAGAAGAATAATCGTGAAAAACAGGCGTGCCAATTATCTACAATTAAGTGCTCTGTGGAGTGACGCTGTTGGAAGGAGAATTTCGAGGTCCACAACTCATAGAGAGGCCCACAAACTGGGATTTAGCATTTGTAAGGTAAGTTTTCTTATAAAAAAAGTGCAGTAAAAACCCTAAAGTTGCACAACTTGTTTATAGGCCAAAGAAAAGCCACTATTAACTCCACTGCAAAAGAAAAATCGGCTTACATGGGCTAAAGAACATAGACAATGGACACCTCAACAATGGTGTGCAATACAATGGAGTGATGAGGCCCGATTTGAAGTTTGTGTTGGTGACAGTCGCAGTAGTTATTCGCAAAAAAATGGATCATTACATGTTCACTGTCTGAAGAGAAAAGTTTAATTTCCAGTAGTCATTATGGTCTGGGGCAGTATGTCATCAAATGGAGTAGGAAAACTTCATTTTATTGATGGAAATGTGGATACAAACAAATATTTGGCAATTTTAGAAGACTCGCTTTTACCAGTGATGGAAGAATGTTTGACATCCGGCCAAGATTTTATGTTTCAGCAAGATGGTGCAGCGTGCCATACCTCAAAAAAGGCTATAAAATGGATTGAAGAAAATAATGTACCACTTTTGAAATGAGTTTCTAGCAGTCCAGATCTGTCACCTTTTGAAACTTTGTGGCACGAGATGAAAAAGGTTCTACGACAACATCCTGCTCGTACAATCACCGAACTGAGACAAAAGCTTTAAGAAATATGGGATTGGTTTACACTGAATTTTTTCCAAAACTTGGTTAACACTATGCCCCAAAGAATTTCCTCCGTAATAAAAAATAAAGGTGGTAACCCAATGGTAATCTTTCAATTGTTGCTTTGTTAATTTCGCGCATTTATTCGCACATTGTTTATTTGTTCAGATGTTCTATTAGTTTTAGGTCTAAGTGATTTCAAATATGTATTTTTTACGACTAGAGTGTATCTAAAATGTTTTTGAGAAAATAAATTGTTTTAGAAGTAAATAGTTTCCTAATGTTTAGTTTATAAAGGCATATTTTGGTACAAATCTTGAAGTGGGCCAACTGGAGTGGGAAGGGGCTCGTATACCTTTCTCCTCATGATCCTTTATTTTTATCTATTATTGTTTGCTTTGCAGATGACAGGCGACGATCTCAGGGTGGCTTCAACGACGTAAACCAGCTGTTCTTGGGCAACCTTCCGCACACAGCGACAGAAGATGAACTCAGGGAGATATTCAGTGAATTTGGTGAAATTATGGATCTCAGAATACACAGCAAACCACTAAGCAAAATCGGCGGACAACCCGGAGGACGAGCGCCTCCCAACTATGGTTTCATCACTTACAAACTGCAACAACACGTACAGGCCTGCCTTATATCTAAGGTAAACATATTACAGATATACCTTCTCTCATACAATGTTTTGCGACCTCTGGACCCCATGGATGCATTTTTAGAGAATTACTAATGCTCTTTTTGTAATGAAATCTTACAGGAGGAGTATTCCAGGTTTTGGAAATACCTTTACATTATCTGTGCGATCACTGGTTACAGAGATATTAGTGGTTGATGACAAAAAGATTCTTTTTCAATCAAAGTCGGATATCTCTGCATCAAATGACTGTATCGAGATTTTAAAAACAGGATATTCAGGCTGAATAAATGGGCTATACGATTTATATGATGGTCTAATACAAAAATTTCCAAACCCGTGGTCTAAAAAGAAGGCAAACAATTTGCAAAAAGATTTTCTTGCGCTGTTTGAATTCCATGAAAAATGTTGCTCCTAAATTTTTTCGGCTAAAAAACCCGAAAACTAGAATCTCAAAGCTGTAAAATGCCAAGTCTAGATGCGACCATTTTCATCGAAAAATTTGGATTTTTTTCCTTGCTCCCTTAATTTTTTTGTGTAGTGTATTTTTCATAAGGTGTATTTAAGGTGTGTACCAATTTTCAGCTGTGTGGGAATTTTTGCAAACTTGCAATATTTTTTTTGCTGTATTTCGTCTGGGCTGGGCTTAGTATAGTTTATGTATTTTGATTTCCAGACATCGTTCTCAAGAACTGGGTATTCGTCGTACGTCATTCTGCACTATTTTAAAAAGAAACTTGCATTTGCGGCCATACAAAGTTCAGCTAACCCAAGAACTACAGCCTAGTGACCATGAGAGTTGCCGACAATACAGTCATGCAGTATTGCAGCTTAATACCCAAAATAACGATTTTTACCGACAGCTGATAATAAGCGATGAAGCCCACTTCGATATGAATGGATTTGTTAATGAGCAGAATTGTCGTATCTGGGCATGAGAGTACCCTTACTGTTACTGGCGAGCGCTACCGTGATCTGGTGGAAAACATTCTGGCTCCTCAAATCCAATAATTAAACCTGCAAAACATGTGGTTCCAGCAGGACGGAGCAACTTGTCACACTAGGGAAACAATGAATCTTTTCCGACCAATATTTTTGGGACGTTTAATTTCTCGATTTGGTGATGTCAACTGGCCAACAAGATCACTGGATTTAACGCCTGCTTTTTTTATCGGGATTTTTGAAAAATAGGACATGCCAACAAACCAAATATTGTGCAGCTGAAGAACAATATTATGGAAGCGATTGAAAATATTCCTACCGAAACCTACCAAAAGTGATGGAAAATGTAATTAAGAGGGCTCAGGTTTGCGCGGCTTCTGGAGGCGGACATTTGTCTGATATTATTTTTCATACAACGAAAATGAAAAAAAATGGACATATTTTATTTCATTTTACAAAAATTCAAGATGCATACCAGTCAGTTACATATAGGCCACCCTGTATTTTCACCAAAATTTTGATTCATTAACGTCTCTCTTGCAGCCGATCTTCTACCCGCGCGGCGACAAAAACGGCACACAATTGAACGTCGAAGAGAAGAAACCCAAGGACAGGCCGCCGTACAGCGGCGGCGCGAGCGGGGGCGGCAGTCGCCAGAGCATGGACGGCGGCCCTAGGGGTGGCCGAGGGGACCGCAGCGGCATGCCCCCTAGGGACGACAGACGCATGGGAGGCGGCGCCCCCGGCGGACCGAACAGAAACGCCGGCGGACCGCCCCCGAACAGAAGCAACAGCTACCAGAACAGAAACGCCAGCGGCGGACCTCCGGGACAAAGGGGCGGGCCTAATTCGTACCGTCGCTAACCCGACACTACCTGTCCCATCTTTCCTCTTCCTCGTAAAACTGCGTTTGATTGGTGTTGAGCGGTGAGCTTTGGGTGCGTTTAGCGTTGCTGTTGCTCGACATTTTGATAGATTGAGTTAAAAACGCCATGTGATAGCAGCGGCTCGGCTTGAATTAGATGTGGCGAGCTTAAGTTCGGGTAATAAATTATTGCCATAAGTAGGTGCAGTTGTCACGTACGCTAGTAACGCTATTCGTAGCCATCGTGTATTCCTTCAACCCGAATCGGGCGCAGTTTTCCGCACCCGTTTCCCCTTAGAATTCGACGAGTGAAGGACTTTCGACGTGAGTTTTGTGTGTAAGGAACGTGCAAGGGCGTGTGCGCAGCGTTTTTCGTCGTCGATATCGGAGCTGATTTCCACTTAGTGCCAATAGTGGAACTGTTTAGCTGCAGTGTATTTTAATTCAAACCTGTTTTATTTATCTGGTCAACCGGTTGCTGGCCGTTTATAAGCGCGAATGCCAATCAGTTTAGGTGGTCTTTCTAATGGTTCTCTGCCACATCAGCGAAAATTGAACCAATTTTCTTCACATTGTCACTACGCACTTTAGGAAATTTTGTATGAAGGCTGTGGAGTTTATTAATAAAACCTTGAATTTAGCTGTGGTTCGATGCTTTTGATTTATTGATATACTTACGAATAAAATTTAATTAGAAATTCTTTCAACAACATGAGGAATAATTTTTGGCGAAGTCAAGATAAAAATGGTAAGAAGTAATCATTGATCATTTTCATCATCATCTAAAGAAAAACAAATTACTGCAGAATTGTTTCCAGATACTAAGATTTTCATAAATGAATACAAAGTTTCATCAAACACCCCCTAGCAGAAAAGCTTGCCATGACACGAAAAAGAAGTTTATTGAAGAGTCTGTTGAAGTAGAGATGCTGGAAGATATGCGTCGTCTCAAGAGAAATGAAGGAAGGGATGCTAATGAAACTGACTCTTTGGAATCAAAGAGCTTGAAGAACTGGATTCTTTCAACGCATCACCAAATCAGAAAGAAGTTTCCGCTGAACCTAAATCGCCATCACAAGCACCAATACCCAATTCGAGCAAAATGATAATACTCAGGCGAAAGATTGAAGAAGACAAAGCTAGTCAGAAGGAAAACGCAACAGAATCCAGTTCGTATGTTACACAAAAAAAGTAAGATTGATTGTCAAGAGGAAGAGAATATGACTTGCCCAGCAAACATTCAATAGCCCGCAAGGGGCAGCAAATCAACCAAACCGCAACCATTCAACAATCTAAAACTAAGACCTGATAAGAAAATCGCGACAGCAGCACAGACTTCTTTGGAATGCAAGAGAAACATTGAGAATGAAGGATACGAGGATCAAAGAGGTGAATCATCTCTGGAAAGCAATGGCACTACCTCTGCGTCTTCTAGATGTATGAGTAATTTGAAAATCAAACCAAACTGTAGCTGCAAGCAGTGCGACCCATTGGTCTATTACTAACCCCGGTGGCGATAAATATGAGAACAAGCCTAAGGTCGTACTAACTGGGGACCAAAACACCAATTTGTCACAGAAGAGGATGCTCCTTGACAATACTGAAAAAGAAAGCTGTGTAAAAAAGAGGTGAGTCCGCCAATGCGAGGGATAATCATTTTTTGACCTATATTTCCGTATACTTCATCAAAAAGGTATTTAGTCAGCCTAGAATGTTTAGGTTACATACTTCTTACAATACAATCTTTGAAATGAAAAATGTTTTGGAATAAAGTAAATAATTACAATGAAAAAAAAGAAATGAACAAATCAAGTGAAAGTTAGAATTAACAATTACATACTTATTTTAATATTTTAAATTTATTTAAAAAAAATTGGTAAAATCAAGGCAAATGTTTTTTTTGTTTATCTCTTTTTATTGATGAAAGAAATTAGTAATCATGTCTTCGTTGATGCTCTCTTGGGAACATTTTTAAGAAACCTTGGGCCATTTATTAATTTAGTACTTGTGATAACCATAAAAAACTACCGGAGGCGAGCGGGGGAAAACACCTTATGTCACTTTCTTCAGAATCACGCCACTTCCAATTTTTCTGTAAAATCTCTACTACAAATCTGAGGTACCATTAAGATGCTATTTAACACGGCATAACAAAGCTTCTCACATAGTGTAAATGAGAATTAAACACCATTTTTTAAATTAGTTATGAAATGATTCTGAATTGAGTAATATTAAATTCTATAAATTGGGTTCCGAACCAATTCTTTGTTACGATGCTCTAAAAAGACAAAATTTTGTGATAGTCTTATAGTAATTGTATATAAAAATCCTTCATTTTTCAGCTTAGTTTACAACTCAAAATGTTGTGAAAATTTCAATTCCACTGATTTCCTACTGTCCTTTGTGCTTCTCATGAAGTACAGATTGTTTTACCAAGGTTCAATACAGTTTATTTCAAAGTTAATTTGAGATTTGGAATATAAGTAATTTTTTTCAGTTGTGGCATTTGAAATGGAATATGGTGTTAGTATGCTTATGAATAGGAAATGAAGCTTGGGGATTGATCTTACAGAATAGTAATTTTGTGATATTTTGTTGAACAATTCAAATTCCATAAAACTGATGAATGAAAACGCGATAAAATTGAATTTTTGACAAAATGCTATGGCAGCAGATAAAAATTAGCTATGTGCAATATACAGAGGAGACGTTTTCTTCCGACAACTTGTGCTTTAATAAAATTTTGATAATTAGTAACTTTCCATCATTCGCTTCTAATAGCATCCAAATTTGAGATGTTTATTTCCTATATTGACAACCATACCAATAGAAAGGCCACGATGTTTTTTATAATAATCGTATGTACTGTTTTGCCTTCCACTTACTTCACGTAGCTGTTTTTACTAGTTTCCAATTTTGCTTTTTCGATGAACTGTCGGGTCAAATTAGAAGTCATCAGCGACATGTCCCTAGAATAATTCAGGGATTTGTCTGCTATATAGGAATTGCAGGCATTGTACCTTTCATAATACTTCATATAACTGATAGTTTTTTCATAATAATTCATGTAACTGTTCGTTTTTCTGTGCTTCCTGAATTGATTGGAGGGTCAAGGTATTGTTTGAGTACTTATTGGCTGTGTTGTGTAATTTTTGATTGGCATTGTGCTGTTAGAATGTCAGCAGCATTTATACTTTGTCTGCAAAAGGCATATGTAGGTCCATGACAGCTCAAGAGTGTCACATATTGTTTTTATGGTTTGAAATTTAATATATTTCACAGCTTGTGAACCACTCGTCAATTTTGTATTACTGTTATTTTTTTAATTATACTGCTAGTATTTATGTACAATTATTTAAACTGTAACTAGACTCATGTAAAAACAATAATGTGCTTTGAATTCCTGCCACTGTCATTTTAAATAGATATGTGCGGAAAATTCCATTTTTATTTAAGAACACTTTCTTAATAGCATAAAAAATGGGTTCCTTGAAAGATGTTCATCTACGAGTATACATCGTGCCTATTGATTTTGAGAACGGTTAGTCTTGAAATTTATATGCGCCGTGTATTTATTTAAAAATCCCAGTCAAATTTTCTGTTAACAGGTCAAAATACATATTTTTGATTAAATGAAGTAATGCAAGGGGTGTAATACATGTTTTTCAAAAAATTTAAGCATAGTATCTCTAAGGCTAGAAGAATGCATTTTACGTTATTTCGAATAGCAACAAATATAGACGTGTTTTATAAATACTTTTTATTTGTGAGTTGTTAAATATCATTTCCAGCGGTATTCCAAGTTTTTATTTGAATTTTTCATTAACCAGTTGAAAAAGAAACGTTAACTGAAAATAAAGTAAAAGAAACTTGAACATGTTTCCTTTCCCTTCTACTCTACCTTAACGCAATGTACAAAAAATTCTGCGTATGTCACATGGTCGGAGACGGAGTTGACCAGAATTAGGAAGATTCATATAGTCCAAAAAACATCTGCTAGTTTCACTTACATACAATACTCGGGAGTAAATTTTCCCTTTTTAACATGGTATAAAAACAAAAGTGTTGCGATAATTTTAATCATAAATTTTGAATGTACAGCGATTCTTAAACACATGTTGTGCAAATGTCGCGGAGGGACCACCCGACGGATGTCGTTTTCCCTCGCCAGAGTTCGTGTGGCGTTCCCCCTTTCCCCTGTATCCCCCTATAGCCAGACGGTACCCAATGGATGTTTAGGCCTTAGGCCTTCGTGGTAGTTGGAGTATAAAAAATAGCACTCCTCCAATGATGCTCTTAAATGTTGGAATGTCGGCTGATACATTTCAATAGCAATGTTGTTAATTGCCTGTCGAATGTTGCCTTTTAACTGTTCCGTAGTGGCTGGAGGATCGGTGAAGACGAAACTCTTTAAGTATCCCCACAAAAAAAATCTGGCGCTCTTGATGTCCCTAAATTTCGAAATAACACTTCCTGAAAATAATTCACGTAAAACGTTCATAAATGTTGCTGCTGTGTGTGCTGCCGCCCCGTCCTGTTGAAACCAGGTCCCGTTTGCTGAAGCATTGATTGCATTGGCTTGTCACAGTTACAGAGAACGGCCCCGGGCATCTTAAAAAAGTAGGGCCCAATTATTCCAGTAGCCGACAAGGCTCTCCAAACTGTAACCTTGGAATGCAGTTTTTTTGGATGCTTTTCTTTTGGGTTGTTGTCACATCAGGACCGACAGTTCTGTTTATTTACGTAGCCCTCCAGGTGGAAGTGAGCCTCGTCGCTGAATAGAATGTGGTCCAAGCCTTCTTCATCCCAAAACATACGAGGAGCTACCCAAAAATAACAGGTATAGCATTGCAGTGGGCGGAGCTTATGTAGTACACATTTCTGCCCCTAGAGGCGTACAGCGCAACTCATTACCAGTTCAGTGCCACCTGAGTTGTCGATGTGGTTTGTTTCGTTCCGCTGTAGTCATTGTTTTTGCTAGAGCTGCTTCGTGCTTGTTTCATTTTTTACGATGGCAAGCTTCAGTGAGCAACGTGCAGCTGTGAATTTTTGCTTTCTAATTGGTAAACATGCTGCTGAAACTGTTTTAATGTTGAAAATAGCTTACAAAGATAATGCTATTGAAAAAACTCAGGTGTACGAGTGATTTGCTCGATTTAAAAATGGCGACATGTCGATTGATAACAAACGTGGCTCTGGACGTTCATCAACTGCTCGAATTGACGAAAATGTATTTGGTCTAAAATTACATGATCATTAATAGGAGAAGTACGATTTTCAGTTTCTCTACTATTTAGTAGGGGGATATGGTTTTTAGTGACTGCATTCGCACTTGGCCGAGGAAAACCCTAGAAAACCTGCAACGTCACTGCTAAGATTAATTGTATCATCTGATGAAAAATCAAGTCGTTCCACAATTCTGGCTTCATTTGTACAATCGAAAGTCGCCAGCATTCCACAGTTATTAACCTAAAAAACAAGCATTGAAGTAACAGTTTATACGAGGGTCATTTTTTAAGTAGGAACCGTTTTGTAAACCAAAATTTTATTTATGAATGTAAATTGTACCACAAACTAAATTATGAACATTTTTTCATTTTTCAACATAGCCACTATAAACATTCAAACACAAGTCGAGCCGTGGCACCAGTTTTTGTGTTAATGTAGCATCTGAAACTTATCCTGCGTTTTTCATGAGGACTATTTCCCTCGTCTTAATTTCTACCAATCACAAACGCGGAATTTTGAATTACAAATGGTTTCTAGATGGAAGAATTGTATGACAGTACCTGTCAGCATTTTTCCAGTTTACCTGAGGCAAAATTTGACAGCTGTTGACACTAAAAATTACAATATCTTTGATAACAACTAATTATGGCCTCTTAGGACAGCAGAAAACGCTGCTAAGCCAAATTTTGTAATATTGTTTTTAAACAGTGCTAGTCAGCTTATGTAGTGAAAATGAGTCGCCTTGGAAGTGATTCTTTGACTAATATTCATCTGGCGATTGAGATATACCTCAGTATATGACTAATCTCTCAATGTATACAATGTGCGCAATTTATTTAAAAAAAAAAAACAGGATGTCAACCCTAACACAACTAAATGAGTAAGCAAGGCTCAGCCAGTTTGCTGCGCAGATATCCTGTTTCCCTCAGAAGAATTGGAGCTAGACCTAATTTTCACTTTGGAGACACTTGAAACCCACGTCACAACACTAAAACACCAAAGCAATACTGAGAGACAATCGAGAACCCTATAGTGAACACCACTACTGAAAAAAAGTAGCTAAACCGAATAGAGCTCTGCACGGAGCTGTGGACGCCTAGACATTCCGCTGCGAAGACGGTTGCCGAGAGACTGAAGCGTGTGAGTGCTACCGGTCAACGTAAACATCGAGTCGCTTCGGGAGCAGACGCGCGGAGTGGGAGCTGGAAAGGGGCGTGGCCGTACCGTATCGCCGCAGCGAGGTACAGCACTCGCACGCTTCAGTCTCTCGGCAACTGTCGGCGCAGCGGAATGCCTACGCGTTCACAGCTCCGTTCAGAGCTCTATATGGTTTAGTTACTTTTTTTCAGTAGTGGTGTTCCCTGACATCCTATGTTTTTTATAAATTGAAAAATTAGTCATATACTGAGGTATTTGGGAAAAACTAAAATTTGCCCAAATCGTTTTTATTTTTGTCTGACTTTATTTTAAGAAATGAAAAAAAACTAATGGCAACTTTTTCTACGACTTTAACGATGTATCACGTTACACACATTATAAACAAACGTATTTTCTTCTAATTCTTCATTATATTTAAGTAGGCGTTGCAAACAAATGCTTGATGTAAGATTGTGTGATTACTGAGTTTAATCTAGTCTGATCCTTATCTTGGCCACCCTGTAATACATTATTATAAAAAGAAATTTACAGAAACGTGCACTAATCTAGCGTTCTTGTAAGTATGCTTATGCACCTACATACATTCATTTACCTGTTCCAGGTTATTTTTTGACATTTGGATGATGTCACATCCGTCTTTCGCTGTTCCCGCTCTTCGCGAAAATTTGAGTATCGGTTCCCAGCAGTGCACTGTGCTACACCGTGGACTCGCGAAAAAATGCTTATTATCGTTTAACAGTACCTATTTGTCGGTGAAAAAATATTTTTTTATTTAATTAGTAGTGCAGAGTCCATTCGATAAGAGCTTTTGTCCAGTTTTTTTGAGAAGTATTTCCGGTTTCCGGAAATGGGCAAAATTCTATATATTTTTTAACTCATATCCAGCTTTCAAATGACGTCATTTGGCGCAGCAAAACTCATTCGATATAATTATATGTCTACTTTCAAGGTAAGTTAATAGGGGAATGGTAGTGTTGCCGACGTATTTTGCTAGCCACATGGCGGTACAAACACTTCATTTAGCAATTACCTATATTCCATATATTTACTCTTTCATTATTCACTATTCATCCCAGTTCATGGCTAAGACAACATCGGTCGGGGCAGCTAGTGATAAATAAAATCGAAGGTTTGTTGCATACCGACTCCATTAATATTCGAATAATAATCGTCAATGTTTAAATTAATATATTGACATTTATATTTAAGCGAACACGCGATCGTTATCACAGTGGTGCAAAGTTCTAAACATGACCAAAATTAGAAAGACTCATCAAATTTTACAAAAAAAAAATCTACATCTTTAGGTCGCAGATAACGAATAAGATATCCATTTATCAAACATCAAAGTGACGGATTAAATATGGCGTACATCTATGCGAAAAAATGTTTTAATTTAGGTCACATTTGAGTTTCAGGGCCGCTAATAACAAAAATATCGTTGTCCAAAAATCGAAAAAGCGGTTCTAATATGACGCCTATGTTGGGAAAGAGTGTTTTTAAGATCGCTAATAACGAAATAAATATCCATTCTTAAAATATTTACAGAATAATTTATCGATTGTTCTCAAATTGCATATTTTTGTTTTCAAGGTAAAATTTATGTATTATTAGTATAATGTCGCATAATTGCGAAACATGCAGTCAGCTGCAACCAAAATTGACATGTTTCTTATCTGGGTGTCTGATAAACATGCCACAATTTGCGACAGAGCGGACTCTAATGGACTTTTTTAAACTCCTCTGTCTTCTACGAATAAGTTTTTTAAATAAATAAGGTGGTGTGGAACTCACTATTAATTTATGTACAAAAGTGAGGTAGGTTAACTGTACAGTTTTTTTCCACCAATTTCTTTCAACTTTGGTGATATACGATCGTGTTGTCTTGGTCCATAAGCAAATCAACAGCCTAAAAAATTTTGATCTTTCTGTAGACACTTGGACTGTCAGCATGCCATTTCATTCTTTAGTTGCCCCATTTCAGAGATCGGTCTTGGCTCAGACACTGTTCCTCTTACATATCAATGAACTTCTTTCCTGTATGGCCAATCCAATCCACAGCTTTGCTGATAACAGCACTAGCAATGCAGGAATTCAGAGCGACAAATCGATCTCTGCCGGTGAGCTGGGAAAAAGAAGACTAGCAGCGACTTCCTCTCTGACGTGAGACCTGGAGGTTATCACTTGGAGACGCAACAATCTTGAACAGTTTAATGCTTCCAAAATACAGTACTGTGCCTTGACGAACAGTAAGCGTCCCAGCGCTCATCCGGTTTTGAGTGATTGCGAGTTCCGAGTTCTGTCAAATATTCGTTCATCTCGTCAATAGCGGCAGCTGCTTGGAAAAAGCTAGGCTATTTGTTTAGGGCTAAGAAGTACCTTTCTTCAAACAACCTCCTCACTCTGTACAAGGCCCAGATAAGACGTAGCCTCGAGTACTGCTCACATGTTTGGGGTGCTGCCGCCCCAACTACATTATCCATACGCGATGCTGTCCGGAGGAGAGCTGTCCGACTGATCGATGACTCTTCTTTAACAGACAGTCCCGGGACCCTTTAGCAGTTCAAAAATCGTATCAACAAAGGTTTTTGGGATCCTCATAGCAGCCTGGCATTCAGGCTTCTGCCTGCGCTACTGCTTCCTGTGTAAAAACAACTATCGACGCAAACTTCAAAAAGAGCAACGCTATTGACTTTGGACTGATTAAAATGTTCATTCAGAAGCTTGATATGGAGCAATCTTGAGTAGGGAACTTAAACGTATCGGCTCAAATCACCTCAAAATGACTTGATGATAGCCTCTTATAAAAATATGAACAAACTAGACGATTACACTTTTTCGTGAAAATTTGTAAATCTGTGCTCTATATATGAGTAGTCTCAATATACATATGTATGTAAATGCTTTATAAGTGGCTGGTGTCGACGCCAATATGCTGTCACGAACATCTGGCATTATTCTATTGATAATAGAACATTAAACTGTCCAGAGTGAGCATCATTAACGAAACAGTGCGCCCAGTAATTTCAAATTGGTTTAACGTATATGTCAGTCGGTTGTATACCTCGATAAATGGCAGTAAGGTAGGTGTAAGGTAAATAGAAAATATAATACATACAGGGTATTCATTTGAAAATTTCCCACCTCGGATTTATCGAAAACTACTGATTAAATGAAAAAAACGCCGAAACACGTTAAAAGATTTGTGAAAGGGGACTTTTTCACCAAAAACTACTTCACCCCTTTTCACCCTCTGCCCCCCAGGGTCATCCCCTTAAAAATTTTAAATGACAAGGGGTATCAGTTATTAGCTTGTTTGAAAGGTCTTTCGAAGTCCTATATTTTGACGTTAGATTTTTTAAAATCGGTCTATTCGTCCTCAAGAAAATTAGAAAAATATTTATCTTATTTTGTTCAGATAGAAAACAAAAACACACGAAAATATCAATTTTTATTTCAATAAGTGTTAGTAATTGGGCATTTTCTGTTCCATGCTTATATGAACTTTCGTATTATTTTTTGATCTATTTTATGTCCTAGAAATATTGCCATTTTTTTCTTAATCGTATTTTTCGTCATTAATATTTGTCAAAAAATGTTCTAATTTTGATGGGTGAATTTTTTTATTTAAACTTTTAGCAATACAATCGAACAGGTTCCACGAAATGATATTTGATATGATATTCTTATGCTTTATGGCGCTCCACTAGCTGGTGGCCCTCGTGTTTACCTTCTAAGGTGCTTTCTACCGAACAGGCCTTCGTTTTTTACTTTCTTTCAGTCAAGATACAATCTGGACATTCTGTGTTAGCCTGCTGACTGGTCATCTGTTTGCCATTAAGGTTGACAAGAGTGGCCTGTCATCTGATTTGTGGGTATAAAAATTATCAGTGATCCAACATGAGCGACACCGAAGATCCTGTCTTAAGCGTCAAACGCATCAAGCAATTGGAAAATAAAAACCTTAAACTCAGAAAACTCCTAGATGCGGCCATCGAAGTGATCAACGATGATGCTGCGGGGGGATTCAAACCCAAAGTCGTTTCTGATTGTGAGGGAGAAAACAGTGAAGAAAGTAGAAATCATCTAGAGGAAGAACATGCGAAACTAAGAACAAAGCTAACCGAAGCGTTGGACGCTATAAATAAAGAACAGCAACATTGCCAAGGTATGAGCACAGAGGAGCAGCTAAGGGAAGCTGTGGGGAAATTAGAAGCTGAAAAACAGTCTTTGATAAGACAAATTAAAGATATTGAAGATAATGAAAGTGTGCTGTCTCAAGAGAGCTTCATCCTACAGGAAAGACTATCGCAACTAGAAAGTAGGCGAGAACTTTTTGCTAGATCAAGACAATCGGCAGGTTCTCGATCATTAGCGTCTCATGATTCCATTTCGACTCATTTCAATATAATAGAAAATACTCATAAAATGTATATAAATACTTTAGATGAGCACCAAATGTTGGAAAGCAAAGTATCTCAAGCAGAACTTAATAAAAAAATCATCAGCTCAAACACCAATTTAATAAATAAAATCAAAGATGTGCAATCTAAGCTGAATACTAGTCTGGGCACTAACTGTAACCTTATAAAGAATCTGGATGAGCCAAGAGATAGTGTTGATATAGATGTGCAAATTACTGAGATGGAACGCCAGAAAGAAGCTTTGTATGATCAACTCGAGCAATCCTTGGAACATTCATCCAAGGAAATAAGCGGTTTGAGCGACCATTTGTCTGATCCGGAAATCAAAAGGCTGGTACACGAAATCGAGATACAGAAGACAGTTTTACTCTACAATTTGAGAATGTTAAAGCTGAAAGATTCCTTAAGGCAATGTGAGCAAAGTGATGAGTTTGATCCAGAAGCCAATTTAAGTAATGTACCGACAGCTTCGGAGCTTGATGTTAGAGGGGAAGGCATATATTTGGATGAAGCAGAAGATAAGCAGGTATACGTTCCAAGTAACAATCCTCCAGAACCTGCCGTATTTAACGATGATCAAGTATTGCTTCAGAATGAAATCGAGAGATTGGTAAATGAAAGGGCAGCTTTGTTGGGACAGCTTCGTTGCATATCAGGTACAGTAGTAGTAGTAGTAGTTTTTTGTGTGCAGAGGAATAATATGGTGGTCTTTATATGTTTTTTCTTGATCTTGGTTACGGTGCGCTTTTACGACGACTGGGGCTCCTAGCCGGTAAAAAAAATATCAGAGAAAAGTGCTTGCTGACCAGGTACGTTTTCTTGCTAGTAAATTCGTAGCTAATTTGGCAACACTGCCAAGCTGCTCCGTTTCTTAGTATCTGGAAAACTATCGTTCAAGGTATGTCATTGAATAGGGATTGTCTCTCAGCTACCCATCTACTGCACACAAAGATGGTGTGCTCTGCGTCATCATTTTCGCCACAGTATAGGCAGGTAGGCTCGTTCACTATTCCGAAGCGATAAAGGTATGCCATGAAACAACCATGTCTCGAGAGCAGTTGTTTCCACAAAAAAATATTTTTCCAATGACCTAGCTTTGAACCTTTCAATTTTATAGTCTGTTGACCTTATGTCATCCAGATCTTTTCAACATAAATTTCCTATACGTTGGAGCTTTATTATTTACCATTTCATAAAATAAAATTAAGTTTGCCTCTTCTACGCACTGTCAAAAAACTTAAATTTTGAATCCAATTGGCGTGTACCTATTGCACTTACATATTACATATTACAATTTGGATGATATTTTGCCGACATATAGTCGGGATGCTTCAGATCTCGGAAACGGTAAGAGATACCAAGTCGATTAAATAGGTGCAAAGTTTAGTGCCTAGGTAAGTAAAAAAAATAGCACAGAAAGTTTCGCATATTCGAGTAGTTTCGGAGATAAACGAAAGACACCGCATTTTCCCAAAATCACTTTTATTTTTTCCTGGCTTTCTTTGAGATGGGATTTCAAAGTAAAAAGTAAATTAACATGCCGCTTTTTCTTCTCTTCAAAATAGCATCATTAGAATTCCAATACGACGTTTCGTCTCTTGTTGTGAAACATCAACTTTCGATTTTTCCACAGTTGAGTTTTAGTTCTGATTCCAAAAATATGAAAGTTTTAGATTGCTCCTTGTTCGATGAGTTAAGACCAACTATAGGATGATCAGGTTTTAAAATATTAGTTTCATAATTGAATCGGGAGAGTTTCCAGATGATTATAAAGTAGGAGTAGTAAAACCCATCCACAAATCCGGTGAAAAAACAGATACTAACAATTACAGGACTATAACTCTAGTATCCAGCTTTGCAAAAATTATTGAGGAAATTATAAAAACACGATTTCTAATTTTTTTTGATAAACATAACCTGTTTAATGAGAAACAATTTATATTAAAGAAAAACAAGTCTACCCAAGGCGCAATTTCTTTTTTGACATCAAAATTATACAAATTACTGCACCAAAGTAAATATACCCTGTGTGTGTTTTTAGATCTAGCAAAAGCATTCGACACAGTAGACAACTTGCTAGAAATCTTACACGACTCAAGAATTAGAGGCAAGGCTTATAACCTCATGAAAAGTTACCTTTCCAACAGAACACAGTGCGTACAAATAAATAATTCCTTAAGCACAAACAAATTGATAACGTATCCACAAGGGACAGTGTTAGGCCCCTTATTATTTACAATTTACATTAATAGCCTACTGAGCTTAAAATCTGAAGGGACAATCATATGTTTTGCAGACGATACTGCTATCGTTTATTCGGATAACAACTCCTGGGATGATCTAAAAGTGAAGGTTGAAAGAGACTTAACAACAATTGCCGCCTGGTTCAGACATAAATGCCTAACTATTAACTTTCAAGAGACTATGTTCATGCCATTCACAAATCACAGAAACAAATTTCCATCCTTTGTATCTATACAGATTAACTGTGATAATATAAATACTCAAATAAATTTTACAAACAAAATAAAATATTTAGGTGTATATTTAGACTCACATTTAAAGTGGAATATACATATTGATTATGTAATAACCAATTTGAGACCATTATTGTTTAAATTCAAGTATCTAAACAAATATTTAGATAACGAAACAATGAAAATTTTATATCATGCTATGATCGAAAGTCGTATAAGTTACCCAATATTAGGTTGGGGTGGAGCACTTAGTAACCAAAAATAAATTAGAAATTGTCCAAAAATAATTTATAAAAATAATCTTTGACAAGCCACTCTTATACCCATCTGATCTGTTGTTTTCTAAAGCAAAACTATTAGACGCTAGGCAACAATTTTTCTATACAATTATAAACTATCAATTTCACCATAGAAATAGTCTTATTCCGTTAGATCACTTATGTATATCAAACTAGAAACAAAATCAATAGCATTAAGCAAACACCTTTCACCTCAATAAGTATAGGCCAAAGATGGCATACTTATCTGTCCAGTAGATTATATAACATACTACCAAATTATATAAGAAATATTTCAAATAAAACAAAATTCAAAATTGAAACCAAAAAATTTATAATTGAAAAAAATCGACATCAAATTGCAAACAAGATACGTATGAAAGAAATTTAAAATTAATGTAGTAGTAAATAACCTCCAACCTTCATATATAGATATACTAAGTGACATATAAATCCGAACACCCAGTTTAAATGGTTTTATTTTAATAAAATTTGTATAAGCACTTAATGAAGCATAATAAGTAAATGATAAAAATTCCAAAATGATTGCACTGCTTTAAAGCCCTTTGACCTTTAATAATGTGTGGATGCACCCTGATGTGCTACGCATTCTCCAACGCGCCTAGGCATGCTTCTGATCTGGTGGTCAATGTTCTCCTGTGGTATCTCATTCCAGGCAACCACCAACTCCTCTCGAAGTGCTTCTAGAGTCTGAGGAGGACGTTGCAAATTGAGCAATCTCCTACCCATCATATCCCACACGTGCTCAATTGGGGATAAGTCGGGAGATCTTGGTGGCCATGGTAACAATGTGACATCATTATGTTGAAAGAAGTCTATTGTGACTCTTGCAATATGTGGTCGGGCATTATCTTGTTGGAAAGTTGGATCTGCCAGTGTGTCAAGATAGGGTAAGAGATGGGGTTCTAGAACTTCGTGGATATAACGCTGCGCATTCATGTTACCTCTGATGAAGATTAAAGGTGACTTGGAACCATAAGCTATAGCACCCCAAACCATAACCCCAACAGTGTGATGAACATGTCTTTCAACAAAAAACTGTGGATTCCTCCTTTCACCACGTCGCCTTCTAACCCAGGCACGACCATCATGCATGCCTAAACAAAATCGAGACTCGTCACTAAAGACAATACTGTTCCATTCCTGATCCCAGAGTGACGGTTGTCTGCACCCCCTCAAGGCGATTACGTCGGTGTTCTCGAGTTAAAGGGAGGACCCAGTGTGGCCGGTATGAAAACAAGCCAAAACTTCTCATTCGTCGGTAAACACTTCGCATGCAAATAGGTCTTCCGTGTTCTGCAAACCATTCATTTGCAATGGACCTGGTAGTGGAGAAACGGTCCCTTAAGGTCAATAATCTTAGGCGGCGATCTTCACGGTCTGTTGTTCTACGGCGGCGTCCAGTGCCCCTTGCTCTTTGCGTACGGCCTTCTCGAAGCCATGCCTGACAACACCTAACCACAGTGTCTACACTTCTTTGCACTCTAACTGCAATTGCCCGAAAAGAAGGTCCAGCTTCCCGAAGTCCCACTATACGGCCCCTATCAAACTCACTAAGTTGACGAAATCGTACAGGTCTCCATACTCTAGGCATCGTAACCGATCGTAAAGGATGTCAAGAACCAAAATCCGCCAACGTTGATTATTTACTGCGGCTGAAATATTCATTTTTAGAGCGTTAGTGAATTAAAAAAAGCAGTATAAAAACCGGAATGTCCAACTGATAAGGCTGAAAATTTTTTCACTTGTTATTTACAGTAAGATAAATACATTCACCAACTTTTATTAAAATAAAACCGTTTAAACTGGGTGTTCGGATTTATATGTCACTTAGTATATGTGTGTATCTATATCTACTCGTATGTATAGGTGTGTATGTGCGTGTGTGTGTGTAGGTGTGTATGTGCATCTATTAATGTGTTTATTTATATGAATATATGTGTATATTTATGATATAAGTTAATACCCACGCACAAGAATTTATTATTCTTTGGGTAAATTCAGTTTATTTACGTATACCTATGTTAGTTTTAGTTATATTTGTATGTTTCGTGAATAATTATTATTATTATTATAATATCAATCCATCGTCACATCATTAAAATCGGAAACGTTGTTGTTCATAAAAACTGGAGAAATGCTTGGCTGTCTTGGCTGATAATACCATGAAACAAATGACTAAAATATCAAGACCTACTTGGGCTTTTCTGTTTTTTTTCTTTTAAATAACTAGGGTTTGGCAATGTCAATGTATGACATACATTTTTGGAAAACTCTTCTTCTACTGTGCGCCTATAAGAAATAATAAAGTTGATAATTGAGGACAAGAGAACCCGTTAGGATAATAATGTATTTTCTATTTTGAAATCCTGTCTCAAAAACGATTTTGAGAACATTCGATTTTTTCGTTTATTTCCGAAAATACTCAGAATTGCGAAACCCAAATGTGCTACTTTGCTTCCATTTAACTGACTTCGTATATCTTATCGTTCCCAAGACCCTAATAGTGACAGTGGAATTTGAAACAACAGGTATACGCCGCTGTATCTAATGTTAGTTTTCGTTGGACTTGAATGTTGTTGCTCTTCTTCACATTGCCAGAAACTTCCGCTAGGCGTTTTGAAGAACAGCAGTCTCCAGACTTGACAGAACGCCTCCACGATACTTTCATGAAGGAGCAGTCCTCTGACGACATTGTGAGGGGTACTCAAGTCTTTGATGACGCCACCAATCAGATGTTCGCAGATGAAGATGCAAGACTAGAACAAAGAATAAGAGAGCTGGAGATAGAAAACGACAGGATCAGGAAAGAGTTGGATAGTCTTACCGTACAGATTCAGGACCAAAGGGATCAGATCTGTACGGTTCCAGGGCAAGACCTCAAAGAGAAGATTAAGGAGCTTGAAACTCCTGATTCTTCTTAAGTTGCTCACTTAAATATATTTTGTTGTGGAATAAATCCTTGCTGAAAAATTTTCTTTATTTTATAACCATTTAATAAAGCGAGTTGTGTGCGCTAATAATTAATTAATAATTATTTACTATTTTTAAACAATGTTATCAGTTCTATCTAAAAGAAATGCTGGAAAATAATGAGACAAATTTCTTTAATGTAACATTTGAAACTTATGCTGTGGTTTTCATGTCGATAATTCCCCATGTTTGTTGGGCCAATGAAAAACTCTTCTTTATTGTACCCGTTGGGACCGAAAAAGTACACAATAAAGAAGAATTTTGATCCTCCAGATAAACATGGTGGATTAAATTTCTTTAAATATGTTTATTCGTTATTCAAAAATTTAAAAGATCAATTTTTGATCCTGAAAAACAGTGACATATGATTATTTAAATTTCTTGCAAAATGTTAGAGAAACAATATATAATAACCTCTCTAGATATTTGATGTCCATAATTGCTTTTTTTGATAAGGCGTCAGATAATTTGTAGTTCCTAGGTTTATTTAGCATTGTTGCATTAGAAAACGTCCTTTTTACTAAGCCAGATGACGGCATAATCGTGATCGTTTTAAATTTGATTCTGATTGGTTATTTTTGATAATTTTTTTTATTATGGTTTTGTAATCCTAACACAGGTCCACAAAATAAAGAAGTGGTAAGTACTGGGGATCCCACTATATTTTTCGAATTTCGCACTATTTCCTGCTGGAATCGAATCATCTAAAGTCAGTATTGTGGGTCGATGGACAAATGGAGAAAACTCATAAAAAGATAAAAATTATATCATAGGTCCTTAAAAAATAAAAAGTGTACTGGAGGTCTCACTATATTTTTACACGTATTTTTTCTCGCTCGTCACGAATCTGAAGTCAACATTTAAGGTCGATGGATAAAAATGAAGGTAACTTTAACATTACAAATTATAGCAATTTTGGTGGAGACGCACCGCTAAGAGTTGCGCAGCCACCATAAATACAAAAATTTGTGAACTGAATGGTCTCTTATGATTATCTTGAATATAACAACTGACATAAATATCTCGAAAAGATTTTTGCGCCTCAGCTATTCCAACTCACGTGGCTGTACCTACGAAGACTGAAAACAAAACGACAACAACCGCAGTTTTAAGTGACGTTTATTATTCGTTTACCGTTTATCATTCTTTGCCTAGGTGAAGTAAAGTTACGTTTCAATAGTGGTTATATTTGTTGCTATAGTAATGAACAAAACATTTTTGAGGCTTCACAAACTACTGTTTTATTCTATTTCAACGCCGATTCTTCCTTAACTTGGACATACAGGGAAATTTTGAAAAGTTCATTTTTGACTTTATTACCTCTTGTCCCATTAATCTCTCCACTCCCCCTCCCCTACTTTTTTTTGAATGTGTCAAGTTAGCAACCTGAATAGCATTAAATATTTAATAAATATTTAAAAAAAAATGCTTGTTAAATATTTGTATTTCTCATATGTTTATAAAATATTCATTACAGATGTTTGTAGTATATATAATTCATATATGTTTGCGATATTTTTTCCAAATAGAAAATATATGATTAAAGATTTTAAATATCAATTTTACATTTTGATGAAAAATCTAATATTTTTCGTAAATATGTATGGATTTTCAAGCATTAATCTGATACATATTTTCAGTGTATATAGAAAATTCTTCATTGGTTATTTTAGCAAAACCTGTAGGAATGCTTATATCAAATTGGGTTTATGAAGAAAATTCATTCTAGATATAATGGTTTAATTTGCTAGAAAAATATTATTAAAAAAACATTCTAAGCCTCGTCTCCATCTTGCAAGTCCTCTCCTCTGAAAAAAAAAACAAACTTACTAATTATGAAGCATTATTGCTTTCTAGTGTGTTTATTCTTAAGTAAGATAAAAATATTATTAAATATCGAATAAATATTTAATGAATATTTTGTGCTATTGGGGAAGCTGAAATTGAAGCAAAAATACTATACTTTATCGTGGAAATTTCAAGATGGCTTCTAGACGCCCACTTGGAGCGTTTTTTATATAGAATGGGGGGGTCGTGTCGTACCTCATTATGATGCTCCTTATGAGTACATACTGTATAACCATAGAACCTTTCCCTCGCCACCTTTAAAAATGGCGAACTGGAGGACTGTCAAAGTTGAGCGTTTTTATAGATTGAGTCACTTATACCTCAACAAGCAATTATCAAATCGCTATGTTATATCAATCTACTTCTCTTGATAAGGTCTATCTGAATATGTAATAAAATATGAAAAATTCAATTTGAATTAATAATTAAATGAATATATTATTATTCAAATGCTTAAATTTAAAATTTTAAAACGCGCAAAAAGCTCGCCGGAAGCTTTGTGTTGTCTGTCATTTTATACCCCCTCGTTCTCTTTTATCCATGCTTAGACTATCTCCATAAAATATTAAATAGCTGCTGCAGGTTTATATTTGGTCTGCGTAAGTTTAACCACGTTACAGGTTAAATCAGGGAACTCAACTGGTTGGGAGTTAATGAGCTATCCATATTATTTTGTAAACGCATAAGATTCTACGAACTAACAGACCAGCCTATCTTTCTAGCAAATTAATTCCCCGCCGAGTTTTTCAAAAATTGATTGTATACATGTTTAGTAGTAGTCTCTATAGTGTATTTACATCCAAGACAGAATGGATGCGTGATTGCCAAAAGCAAGGACAGCGTACAGGGCCGCATTCAGGCCTACCTCCGAATGATGGACTACCACCAACGTGTTGTGAAACAAAGATGACAGTATTTAACGAAATTATCTAATATAGTGAAGTAGTTATAGTTACGGGTGTCGCAAAATCAAATTTTTATTCTTGAAGGGGTGCTGAGTTTTGCTACAGATTTTTCAAACTAGACAACATGGAGAAATACATACCTGAGGTAACCAGCTGCTCACTATGCATAATGAATCCGTAGTCAACGAGGGGTAGAGATGACACTTTTGTACATAAATAAATATAAGGCTGTTCAATCAATTGAAAATAGATTTTGAAGGTGCACTTCGGACTTACATTGTCTGTAGTTTATCTGTAAGTTAATATTTCACTATAACCAGGATTCCCATAATATGTATTCTGTGACAAAACAAAAACGCGAAACTTACTCAGACTCACTTGAAGAGCTATCTGTCATTAATGTTCATGATGATGGATTCAAAATCTCTCTCAATTGTGTTGTCCAGCTCCCATATTGCTACCTCCACTTTCTCCTGAACATGCTGCACACATTTTTGCCATATTTCTGGTGTGACCCTCTGTATAGCAATTCTGAACAGCTCTTGGATGCCAGAAAATTTAAATGTTGTATTGTGTGCAGCAACAAAATTCTTAACATCTGCCCATATGAGCTCAATGGAGTTGAGCTCTCAGTGGTAAGGCGGCAAACGGAGTACTGTTTTGTGGTGTGCTTTGGCCATTTCATCTATGACATATTTATCATGCCTTGGTCTGTGTTGTTTCACAATATCTAATAGTTGTAATTTCAGAAAGGAAGGGTCGAAAGTTATATTTTGGAACGGAGCCAGCTCTGAATGTCTGATTTCCTAGAAGCTGAAGTTGGGATTTTTCCTATTTTGCGAGAATGATAGGGAGCATTATCCAAAACAACCACAGAATTGTCTTCGAGATGTGGTAAAATGCCTGAAAACCACTTCTCGAATGCTTCCCCATTCATCTCTTCATGGTAGTCAGTGATTTTTTTTGACTCGAAAGACCATAAGCCGTCATCCACGAAGCCATCTACACCCCCAATGTGGCAAATAATGAGCCTTTTTCCTTTGCCTAGAAAGATAAAATCCGCTAAGTACACATGCACGTCTTGTAGGTACGAAGATAGAGAGATATTGTGCGCAAAAATTGATACCGTGAACTACTTCGATCTATTTACCTGCTGGATTTTTCAATCCGGTCGACAGTCCATCTATAAATGCCCTTCTGGATGAAGTCACAGTTTTGTCAACCCATACCTTCGGAGTAGTGTGCCCAGCGTTGATCCAGGTTTCGTCCAGGTAATAGATCTTCCTGTGCTGATCCCTGAATGATTTAATTTTGGTCAGGTATTCTGTCCTCCACAGAACAATTTCTTCTCTATCTATAAGTAAGCTGTTACGACCTCGTTTCTTCCATTCGAAATTAAGATGCTTCAACAGTTTATGAATAGTCGAACGTTTGAAATTTGGTAACATAGCATCCTCGTTAACCTCCCGTAGTACTTTATCAACTGTCGGTATTTCGTTTCTGAAGAAGAACTCGTGCACTTTCCACCGAATCGCATGCTTGTCAGCGTCATCCAACGATTTTATGATACTTTTGCGATTTTTACCCGTCATTGGCTTGGAAAAGGCATGCTTTTTCTTATGTTCGTTCAAAACATTGTACACTGTCGCTTGGCATACCCAATTTTATCTGCCACTTTCAGAGCTATTTTCGGGTTAGTTGATGTTTAGTCTTCCTTCCGCTCTATCTTGGATGTATTCAATATGACGTCTTTCATGTCTACGCTAAAGTGTCTTTTTTTTATCGCTTTCTAGGAGGGCTAAGTGAGTAGCCTACAGCCTCGTCAGCAGTATCTGTACTGGACATGTTCAGGATTGGTTCAAAACAAATAATAACGAGGAATAACAATAACAAACAGAAACTTAACAAATTACTCAAATACACTTAACAACAACAACAGCAACATCCAAGCAAGGTGAATACGAAAACACGAGCACGCAGTGATACACGCGATTTCCGCCAGGCGACCGATTGAAATTTAATGGCGAATTGACCAATAAGAGGCGCTGTCCCCACCTGTTACCGAGAGATCACGCGCTAACTGTTATTATTTACATCTCATCTTGAATTTGGATTCAGTTTTATAGACAATAGTGGTGAATGTGGTCCAATCAATCTCCCATAGGTCGAAAAATACGCTAAAAATACAATTAAATTGGTAAATATCTGTTAAATATCGTGCTTGATACCTTTTTAGCATCACGACCCAAGAACAAAGATCTTCAGTAGCGGAGAAAAAGTAAGGAAATAG